TAATCACCTACCAAAAACTGCCTTTCCTAGTTATTCGAATCCTAATTCATACAAGCATACTTGAATAAAAAAAAAACACGAAAACTTATGAGCCAAAAGTGTCAGATCATGAATGCCTCTAAACTCTTTTAAAAATATAATGGATATTTTCCGGATAAGCACTTGAGCAATCTCAGATTTGAAAAAAAACGAAATGTGCCAAAATTTTTAAAAATGGCAAATGATTGTTATTTCTATGAATATAATTTTGTTTTACTTTACTTACTATTGGGAATAATGTCTTTCCCCAATTGCAATAAATAGTGTTCATTCCTTAATTTTCTTTTCCACCTTTTCTTTCCCAACCAAAAAATGCATCCCAAGCATAAAGTGCTATCTAATTAAGAGCATCAAAACTCTCATAATTCTATTATTTCTCTATGTATTTGTAGAAGAAAGTGTCTCACTTGTACTTCGGGTAAACAAGACATTATTGAGGCATAGAATATTTCATTCCTTGAGCATTTTTGTGCATTTCCTGATTCGTACGATTTGTAGTATTCAATTTCCAAGATATAGAAATGGTTCAATCATAATAACAAGGTTAAACTCTGTATGGTTAAGGATATTTAGAGTTGCAGTGTATTCTGACAAATGAGGGAGATTAAAAGATGAAAGGAATGAGTTTGGTCAAAATGATAAACAACGTTTAGGATACGAAGCCGTGCCCAGCAATAAATTTTGCTTCCATCCCTAATAAATCATCTTAACAAATGTCAAGTTTGAATTTGAGATATAGACAGGGAGAGACGGAGAAACAAGCATAGAAAAGGAGCGGACGAAGCGATGCACTAAATCATTTATTATTAAACATCAATAGTCAAGCGACATGGTGACAAACAAAGGGAAGTAATGGATCAACCTGGTTTTACGGGCGTTTAGGATCAAACATACTTCTGGGAATCATTCAGGACTCTATGTGGTGATATAATCTCAAATATATCAGTGGTTTAGGGTGTATCAATTAATTATTGCTTCGTTAGGCTTAATGAAGGTATTACACTGTTCTCATTGATCGTAGTGATAATAGATTGTCTCGAACTAAAGAATACTGACAGCAAATAATACAGTGCCAAATCAATACCTTACACTGGTCATAAATATATCTTCTCTGTGTTTCAAGAACCATAAAGCGATATGTTTTTAGTGAATTAAGCAGCAAGTTTTTCATCTATTTTCCATCTGCTAATTCAAGAAATAAAATTAGTACTTTGATGTTACACATCACATCCAAAAACTAGTTTAATAACCCACTGTTCTTTTTGAAAAACTTGTTTTTGAAAAAATAATAAATGTTCATGTACAGACAGATAGCTATGTCAATAGCGAAGCCCTCGCTTTGAGCTTGTAACTTTCTCAATAGTTTTTATTTTAAAAACAATAATAGGGATAGAAAAGCAGAAGGAAACGAACAAAGAAGAAATGGAACAGCATTCAGAGCTGTCATCATAAATCTTCGGCGAATTTTATAAATGCAGCGAATTCTGCCCTCATAAATCGTTCCCTTTTCGCAAACGAGCCCTAAGCCATCAATCAGTCTGGTTTTGGTGTACACCGTTTTTTTGAACTTGCGGCATAGTGCTATATGATTAATGAGTCCACTCTTCACATGCTCCGAAGATGGATTAACCAAGAAATAACTCTGCATCACTGTGATGTTTGCTCCAGATTACTGCACAACTAATTAAGTATCATTTAATTATGCATTTCAGGTCACGCTCTTTTGAAAGAAAAGATCGAGCTGCCTGCCTTTTTTGTGGACTATTTCTCATTGAAGAGTAGACTATTTCTCATTGAAGAGTAAGTATTGGAATACCTGATCACTTGGTATTGTCCATTAGCAGACGCTGTCTCTTAGAAACATTATTCCTTGAAGCAATTAATGATTATTCACACTTATATAGCATTGAAGTATACATTATTAAATCATAAATTGGAAGCCAACAGAGTTAATTAAATACTTCAGTAAGCGAAGAAATTGTACATGGTTACTAAACATTTAATTTGTTTGCTTTCAATAAGTTTTAATACGTCAAAACTGATGATTAAAATATAACTGGTAAACCACCAAATAGGTTTTGGCACAGTAGGAGGTACACACATAGCACTCTGCTTCTCTTAAGAACCAACTTTTTACATTATACCAGATAATAGCAAAACAATTGACGATTCACAATAATATACTGATATCAATTTTTATGCGCAGTAAACAATTTCATTTCTTTTACAGTGTGCAAAACGATGGGGAAGTTCAAGGTCTGCTTTTGCTTTTTAAATGGCAGCAATGTGTAACGCTAAAACTCATTAGGATTCTATGGACGTAGTATATCAACGACTTACGAATTCATTGAAATGTAAATAATTACTATGACTTCGAAAACCATTTTAATTTAAAATCTGGGCCTCTTATCAATTTATATTGTGATAATGCATGACAGATAGGTCTATGAAAACACTGAAATTGTAACAAAACTCTGGGTTCCATGGTATGAAGAACAGAAGAGGTGACATCCTGACCTAAAAGATATAACATTCATCATCCACTAGCAAGTTTACTAAAGTCATATTAAAGTTAATGATTGATCATTCTGTAGATAATGATCATTATGCTGGAATGATTCAGACAGTAGGGCAATGGAATTGGCCGAATACGGATCATTAATCAACAGTCAGCAGACAAATTTAAGTCTGAAACATCTATGATGCAAATTTCTTACTTAATTTTAGTATTGCACAAGGGACCGATTAATCCTGAAAAAACACTCCATATATTTATTAAAAACTCTTCTAAGCTTAAATACTATTTCAATTAGAAAACACCGATAATGCCACCGAGTTATTACAGAATTATTCCTTCAAATAAAATATGTAGAGTCCTTAATCACTGCAATTTAATTCCTTCAAAAATAAAATTTATTTCCTTCAAAAATAAAAGAATATGTAGAGTCCTTAATCACTGCAACACATGAACGTGCTGTATAACCATTTGCAAATTCCACAAACCGGAATAGCTAGTCGAGATGGGAAGAGTCCGCTTAGATTTCTTGAGGTTAATTAGGAAATATGCCGAATTGAACAGTAAAACAGTTTATTTGAAAACAACACAGTAACTGTCCCCAATCACTTAAATAAATTGTTTGCAGGTCTAACGAATGCTGAACTAGAGAAATTTATCATACTGATCTATATTACCTGTTCAGAAGGTAAATGAATAATGAATCCAGCTATAAGAAACCAAAAGAAAACAAAAACAGGAGCAGTACTGTAATGAAACATAAGAATAAATCTTCACAGTACTCCAAATTACCTTCTGCAGTCTACTGATGGGAATTTATATACAGAGTATTGAGATTCCAAGCCAAAATTATCACAAATTCGTGAACCATTGTCTCGACATCTCACATATAAATGCACAATCATTTATATAATAAATTATATTATACATTTTTTATACAACCACATCATGGAGAAGCGCAATTTATTGTTACTCAAGAACTGAGAAATCCGTCAGAAATCCCCACTTAAAAAACTTTGGTATAAGAAAAAGAATATACCACATTAGATTCTAGCGTACACCATATTAATATTGAAATATATTAGCACCTAAATATTGAAACTTCTATAAAATGCTTTATAGTCATCTTCAGCTTTCTGCTTGGCAAAATTCTTATAAAACACGGAACTGTCCTAACTTTTCAATTTGGGTGTTTCATACTGCTCAAAGAACTGTAACTATTAAGCAGATCATTCGCATTTGTTAGCCAAATTCGTTATAAATCAAGTAAAGACCAAAATGACGAAAATATTAACGAAAAGAATCAATATCAGAATTTTACAACTCCTATTTCAGCAAATTAATGTATGAATGTGCACTAAAAAATTAAGAAAACATCGAAATCCACATTGAATTTTTTCTTTATCTTGAAATTAAGAAAACACCGAAATCCGCACTGCATTTTATGTTTGACTGCAACAGTACTGATGATATAAGATTATTATCTCAACAAAATAAACATTTAAAATATGAATCTAATGCAATTAATATATGTTATGAAATACATGTTACGTTATACTATTTTTCTGACCAAAGTGTTGCCGTTACGTACAACAGACGGCAGAATGAGAGCATCATTGCAATCAACACTTACCTTCATTATATTGGTTGCATATTTTTTAGTTCAGAAATGAATGGAAAATTGGGGAATTTCTCTCACACACAGTTATCTTACGAAAAAAGTTGTGCAAAAACAACAAAACTACTTTTTTCATAAAATAAAGAATTTGCATCGAGGACTATGTTAATTTCCCAAAAAAATTTTGCACACAGTAAAACTGGTCCATTACCTAGATCGCCAATTTCTTGAAAGATTGCTCCCTACCAACCAAACTGATGTTGTCATGAAAAAGCTGATAGAGAAAATAATACATGGTCAGTGATAAAAGTACTGTGATGATAAAAACTACCTACAGCAACCAAAGCGCGAAAAATAACCGGTAGTTTGACAAAACACAGAAACTAAGCTTTTCACAAAACTGCAGTCTAATAACAAATAGGACTAAGACCAGGACTCAGAGCATAATTTAGTAATGCCAAAACTAAATAAAGACTTCCCTTACTATACAATCGTCAATCAAAACCTAAAAATTTCGATGGCGAAATAAAGCCCAGAAAAAAAACAGAAAATTGTGGACATTCCTATAATATATATTCACTTCAATCATTCTGTTAGTGAGAGCTTAATAATCCGCAATTTTAGGTAGGTTACTTCAGTATTTTCCCTAAATTATAAATAAACATTTTAGCATTCAAATATGGAAAAATTAGTTCAAATTTAGCAACAAATACAACAAAGTCAATGAATGATTATATTTCAAAAATAATGCGTAACAACTATCCAATCTGATCCTGGAGGAGCAACAAAAATCAATCAAAAACATGCATGATTACTTGACAATTTTGACTACTTCTGCATTTCTTGTCGAATATGATTTAAGAATTCGACATAGCTGTGGGATGATTCTGTACGATCATCAATCAGACGCCCGGAGAATAAACTGCGTACGGGGCTATCCTCTCTGGAAATGTTCTCAAAATGAAATTCACTCCATTCAACGTAATAATAACGAATTAGTCAAACTCTTTTTTTTTTTTCTTGGCGTGGAAAGCCTAACTTTTCAATCTAATGTAGACATATTTTAAAAATTTTAAGAAGTGTTCCCTATCACAAAATTTCAAAATCTGCTAAAACTAATTTGCAAATAAACATTAACTTAGAATTGTCTTGAAGAAAAATCTGAAAAAAAAAAATGGAAAAATTTAAATAAAAAAAAGCCAATAAATCTTCTAAAGAAGACAAAATGAATAAAGCAAAAAGAAAAACAGAAAGAATTTTTTAGCAAAAATTCAAACATTACCGTATTAGTATCACAGGAGCGAACACAGACCGATAAACAGAAAGTTTACGAAGAAAATTGTGTACTCTATTACTAAATGGGTTGTCAAGAGCTTCAAACGGACCCTGTAACAAAGAAAATGTTTATAAGTATCCTGATGCAATTCTAAGAAAGCAATAGTAGTTCTAGAAAAGATGAAAAAAGGACCAAAAAACGGAAAAAATTGTCGTTACAACTTTTTAAAAACATAATACTAAATAAACTTGCTTCATCATCAATTCTTTCGAACGTATTAACACCAAATAAACGCTTTATAATGCTTGCTTCAACATTTGATGAAATATATACATAAACATATGAGCCTGTATCCAGTAAATATACACCATTTCGATTAATATGTTCGAAAGAGAGATGTAACCTTGGTGGATCAGTTTCATTCTATAAAAAATTAAAAAATCATAAAGATAACATAAATCTTAGTACTAGAATTTACCTTGATATCACTGATTATTTCAAAGCAGTTCATATAGGAGCTTTTTGAAGCTCAACTTAGAAGTTCATAACGAAATTAAAGAAGTTTCTAGACTAAATCTGGAAAAACAATTCCATAATCGGCATAGTTTTAACTAAAAAAAGTAACTAAATTTAAACAAAAAGACACTTCAACAAAATGATTGAGTTCATATAAAGCAGGATACAGCTCTAAATCGATCACTTCTAATGAAGCACTGCGAAATAGAAGAAGAGCAGCCACACGGCTGTCTAATCTAATAGACTGTCCTGCTATGAATGCTCGCTGAAAAAAGAAATACTGTAGAATTAAAACAAATGCTGAGCCAACATACCAAATTTAGGAATACTGCAAAATATTTTTAAATATCAAATTAACGGAAGGATACTAAAGTCACAAGATGAATTGGAATAACAATCCAAAAGACTAACATACGCTGTATAACCAAAGTTACCATTATTGATCACCAGAACCGCAACTAATGATATTTTACATATTTCAACTAATTATATTATATCATATGGTAGCAAACCTTCCAGTAAGAAAGTGAACAAAAGCAGGCTATATGGAAATCTTCAAGCAGAGGGTAAGGATAATTGTTACAAAAGCACTCGGTTATAGTCAATTTCATACGAATATTTGGTTGTAAAACAACTAACATGTTTAAGCATGCCTAACACATAGAGTGGTAACAAACGTATCGAAGTAACTGGTGATAACATACAACTGGTACGATCCATACGCGAAACAGCAGAGTTGTAAGCACCAAATACATCAACAACAGTATTCACCATTGCTTCACGAGAATCTGTCAAACTTGCACCCATAAAGGTGCGTTCGACTGCTTAACATATTAAAACAGATATATGTGATGAACATACAGTTCCAGTAATCCACCACCTTGTGCAGGATCAATAATTGCCTAACATCTGTTCGCATTTTAAAAATAGTGTCACATAATACATTTCAAATGAAAATTGTAATGTACATGTCACATGCTTCTTCATTATCGCTAGGTTTAAGGCAAAACGATTAGCAACGACACATCTGTAATCTGGCTGCGGGTAATTTATCATTCAGTAATTTAAAATCATTACCCATTTTCGAAAGAAGAGATATTGCACATTTTACATCAAACTGACTGAAAATAGTGGACAGATCCTTCGTTACCGGTAAACAAAGCGTATGAATTCGTATTCGTCTGTCGCCTAAAAAATACACAGAGAATTAAAGAGAAATGGAGAAATTAGTGAATCATTATAGATAGTGATTCAGTAATTTCAATTTTATACAAATAAATGTGTTATTGACCAGTTGCACAAGCAATCCGACGTCACATCAAAAATGTTATGATTCTATGAATAAAAATAAATCACTTTACAAATGCTTAAATATAGTTCACCTCGACTTGATGTGTACAGAACAGCAGCTTGGAAGCATGCCGTATTAATACCAATAAGGTTCTCTTCCATCTGTACTTGTACAGCAATTGCAGAATCCGGATTTACATTGGCCATAGCCAAAAGATCTGTTGAGCGTACAAAAAAATTCCCGTAGAATGTATGCAATGACAAGCCTACAAACACTTTAAAAAATTATAAAAAAACTAAGAAAACAAACAAAAAAAAAAAAGCAACAAATGTTTGAAAAAAGAAACCTTTTGTACACCGAATCCTTAACACCGCTTCAAAACCAATTTTTCGAACCAAATATCGATTTAGCTGCTTTTGGAATCTTTTGACTTGTATCGGTGCATGATTTATATGATAATTTGGGAAGTGAAAGACACATCCCGTGCTAAATTTTGACATATCAGCTGAAAATACAACCAGCGAATACCAAAGGAAAAGAGAACTGAACGAAAAGAACTACAATTTTGATAAAAATACTACATCTTTCAAAAATCAGTAAATAAAACTATGCTTTTCCTAGTACTAGTCTTCCCATAAATGTTTGTTCGACTCTTTGGACATAGAGCATATTACAGATAGGATATCATTTGAAAGTAATATAGCTTGGAACTAAAACAACGATGTGTAATCAAGGAATTAAGGGACAGCTTATGCAGTTTCATTATATATTATGCAGGAAAAAACTGTAGCATAAAACTTGCCTAAAGTTGACAAATCAGAGTATCGGTTATTCATTAAAAATAAATCAACAGCAATTTGATGACCAGTGCATTCAAGCGCTAAACGCTTATAATAGTCATTTGTCGGACACAAATTTGATACTTCCTGTAATGAATCCATAAATACGGGTAGGATATTATCTGAAAAAAAAAAAAAAAAATGGTCCAAACTACAAGAAATAAATGGCTGCATAATCAAAGAAACCAACAGAAACTGCTTGTTGATCTGGATTCTCTCGAATTCTGAGTGCCCCTGGTCCCAAATCAGGAATTATTGTTAAGAATACGGTGATTCTTCCACCAATATCGGCCTAAACAGGAATCGTGAAAGCAGTGCAGTGGTAAGTACAATATCCCATGCATGCTTAAGAATCAAAGCTCAGGAATTTGAAAAGTGAATATGAACTAACAATAAGTTCACGTGCAGCAGTTAATGCCGCACCCAAGCAGCATGAAGTTGAGGAATTTGATTCAAAGAGAGTAGGTAAACTTTGTATAAACGAACGTATCACCTGCAAAAAACCACAAGTTTAAGTTGCAACTGTTACTCGGATGACATAAAAGTTTAACACCAGAAATATGGAAACTCACATCAATGTTTTTGCGGAGATTTACTAATAATCCACAATTGACTGGAAGGAAAATATCTAAAACACAACATTTGAAGGTACAAGGCAGCCAGTATAGTTTGAACCGATCAGAAAATTGAGAAACAAAACTATATATTTGAAGCTGGTGAACAAAATTCTTTTACATCATTAGTAGCATTCACTGAAACAGTTGATGTCTGACGCAGTGTTCTCGTTTATAGAGAAAAGCGGACACCCAGCATTATCCAGAAACGTTACTATTTGTAGTAATTCATGTCTTAGGTGGCAATGTATAATTTTGTGTATATGCTGACCATGGCTTCAGAAAAACGATTAATGAAGCAATGAGAAGCAATGCATTAAGAAATAAGAATTAAAGTGAAGCCTAAGCCTTCAACAAATCTGCAATTTTTTTTTTTTTCAAAAATTTCACCACTGTATTCTTCAACTATGAGCTGCTGCGGACGTGATTTTCCTTGAAACTGAAAGAAGTGAACAGCTGAATCTGCACCGATAAAACCAAGCATAGTATGTTCGTTGCCAGGTAGCTGTTCCAAAGCAATCAAAAGCTGTTCAACGAAAGTATAAAGATAACCTGAATGACACATATTTTACCACAATCTCTCATAAATCTTTTGGTAAAATACCAATAGTCTGACGATTTAGTTATCCACAACTAGCACTAACTTGCTTCACTTTACTAAAGTTTATTTTACAATCCTAGATTAAAAAAAAAAAAAACAGAATTCTCAGTTTACTTTTGAGAGATTAAAATTATAGAAACGATTAACCTGTTTCAATAGCATCTTGACTGATATCCATTACAAACACATAAACTGCCGGCTGCGGTGGACGTAACTGTAATAAAAAACAAGAATGAATAACCGAAATTTTTGAGAAAAAGTACATATGATCAGTATAAAAGTGCGTCAAATTACAACCGCATCTGACTGACAAAACTTCGCATTACCATATATTCAGAGGGAGCAATAAATTCGATGGTTGCGTTCTTAATTTCTGGACGATGTGTTGGTTCACCAAATGACTTTGTAGCAGGGTCCCAATTAAAATCATCCGGTACTAAAATGATTTCAATTGCTTTCATCAGGGAAATAAACTGCATTGGAAAAATTCAAAACCTATATTAACTAACAAAAGTTTGATAAGTTCACAGAACATTAAACTCACAGTCGTTAACGCGATAGCAAATATTACACTTCCAGTGGCGAGAATCTGGCAAGTAAATATAAGGATTAATATAAGTACGACAATAGCGACATCGTACAATAGATGATGTTTGGATAATGTTCAGATTCTACAAATTGAAAATAATTTTACTTATGATATTTTACGACACTGTTCCTCATATTAAGGATTCTTTACATTAATATTTCTTCATCGATAGTAATTTTAATATACAGCCGAGTCCATTTTTCACTTTTCTCTAATTTAAAATTTGCAGGGAAATCCTCACTACTGCTAACATCTTACTTTTTTTCAGCTGCAGATAGCCATCTTTAATTCAATCCCTTAATTAAATAAATTCTTCTAATGTAATGGAAAGAAAAATCAAACCTTTATATCTTTAAATGGTTGCAAAGTGAGTCCAAATGGTAAACGCGATTTTTTCAGTAGTTCTTGGGTCTGAGGTACCGAACTTAGTGTGCAACGAAATATACTGAAATCTATGTTTAAAAAAATTATGACTAGCGCATCTCCCTATTTAAAACTCGTTTTGAAGTTTTAAAGATGTTTTCAGGGCTTAAAAGCCATGAGATCTTCAATGAATATCGAAAAAAAATAAATTATTAAGAGGAATGAAGGATAGAACAATGCAACGTTTCGACCAAATTAATAATAAACTGGCATGTCAAGTCACAAAAAAATTTCGTGTTCTAAGACACCAAAATATCGATAGTTTAAATAAAAATAATACTTCTAATACAATGGTTTAATAATATCTTATTTACTTCCTGATGAAATTATTGTACAGAGTATCAAAGCTATTATATGAAAAGAAACTTCACTTCCATATTTCAGAAAAATTTAACCTAGGACTGCATCGAGCATCAGGATTGCAAACAGTTGGTGGAAGAGCAATCTCTTCATCATCGGTCCCATATTTCAATAAATCCCTTTCCTGCATTAAATCGACATATCTGGTCGATCGTATCCCATAATTCTATAACTCGTCCAGAAATAAATGTGGGTAAAACAAACCATCAGTTTCCATTAAACCTTATAAGAACTGTTATTATGATCCTAATTAAATCAGGAAACTTCCAGTGACACGGTAAGACTGCTGACAACTAATACCAATGCGATGCATAACTCGAGCATAATGGATTTACGATTACATCTAGGTCATCAGCAATTCGCATGCATCGTTTTCGCACGACATTAATAAATAAGATCCTGCACTGCCTCCGTATACCAACAAATAAATTTAGTCATGTTATACCGATCTCCGTAGGTGATAATATTCAACCCTTTGTGTGAGTAAATTCACACATTTATGCCAGAAAAAAGAAGTCGAAAAAAGGTCTTGCTTACAATACATTTCGAGATTTTAGTGCAAAACGCAAATCCTTCCAGTATAAAAGATTATAAGAAAAAAAATTCTCATAAGGAATTACCATTCGAGCAAATTCTTGTTGCAAATTGCCCATTCCACCGGGATAATTCCCGTTCATCTGATAATGATCGTTTGACAGTTGCGATTGTGAATGTTTATTAAGAACTCCGAAGCTGTGATGCAAACCAATTTCATTCTTTGTATTATTCCTATACGCAACGCTAGTAAGAGGCTGCATAGAAGTTGGAGGTAGATAATACCCACAACTAACAACTGAATCTGACTTGTTATCTTGGTCAGGCAGAGAGGAATACGACTGTGGAGGAACTACTGATATCGGAGTAGCATCAACTGGAAAAACTGTGGACGAAAATGGTACTGCTGAAAAATTAGAAAGCAGCTGAGGCTGGAAAGTGGTATCATTTTGTCCACTTGAATTATTCTGAACACTGTTCATTCGATGATGCGTCATACTGCATGATGGTGGATAACTGTAAGTTAATGCTGCTGCACTCGAATCATGAAGTGACGACTGCACGTTATCCTAAATAAAGTAATAATTTTAAATTTAAATTTGAGTACAGATGAAAACAAAACTCAATAAAAAAATTAAAACACGAGCTTTGATAGCTTATATCTCATAAAGGCCGGAAAGAAAGACACATCAGCCAAATCCAACTATATTTCAAAATTACCTATTTAAATAACATGAGACATTATAATAATTCATAATCCTGTACAAAAAAAAAAAAGAATAATAACAAATCACTATGAGACAAAAAATCAGCAAAATTTACGGACACTGACTGGAAATGAATTCGGATGCTGCTGCAAGTATGACAACACATTTACATTACTGCCAACTGCAACAGTATCAAAAAAGTAACCTAAAAATATGGATTTCTAAGCGAACATAAATTTCTAAGAAAACACATGACGTGACATCAAAGTTCCGAGCAAATCTAACAATTTTAAATCATCTGCATATCAAACAAAACCCTTATATCTGCAAACAAGAATGAAAACGAAACCTTGACCGGACATAAGGTTCGCCGGTAGCATTTTTGTCGTCCACGATGAATTTTGAATGCTGAAATAGAGAAATCCTTGATTAAATATTAATAAAAAAAAATAAATGCATTACTACGGTTTAAACAGAATAGGGAAGTAAATAGGCAAGTGATAATTTTATTAAAGGATAGCATTCCCAACATCGTCAAGGTATGGAATATGCCACAAATAAGTGGCAAAGTAGCATGTAAGAAAATATTTCAAGATATCGAAGTTGTGGTTACAACCAAAAAGCTGTGGTCAGAATGATCAAAATACTTTCCAAAAAAAAAATATTTTTTTTAACTGATTAAACAGTTAACCTCTGATTATTGAGAGCTGTTACCGAAGCATTTGCGTCGGCGTGGTGTTCCCACAGTTCTTGATTATTTGTTCCATAATCAACAAAATTTAGCGGATTCTCCGCCATCTGTTCCCGGAAAACCGTGAGACCGTAAGCAGCTGAATAGAAGCAGATTAAAACCTAGCAATTTGCCAAATTAATTACTCAACTGATACTTCTGTACTGCATTTAGTTCCATTTATTTCGTAGATGTAGTTCGGGTTAGCAAAGCTCTATTCTCTAAAAATATAAGTTGGTATTTTTCGTTATTCACCTAGCATACAGTTCAGCCCTCCACAACTTTTGAGCACACTGTCATCTCAAACTTCAAAAAAGCGCCACCAACACTGCACACTCCTTTTCGCTTGCGTGTATAGAAAGGAAGCATTCGACCGCGCTATGAAAATTCGTGTCTCTTTGTACCGAGAGATTAACTCAGCCTAATCCACAACTTAACCCACCAGGTTAGGTCGTGAATGTAATTCAGTTCCAATTCAACTAATGACTATAACAGTTGAAATTCATCGCATTTAATTTTCAGTTTTCAGCAGAAAAACTCCCAATATTGTATAATAACCATTTTAAGACAGTGAAACATGGATATCCCTAACACATCGAATTAATGTACATAATTCTTCAAACAGCACCACAGTATAATTTTTAATAGCCATAACTGTATTCAACCAAATAAAAGGCTGGATTTAAACAACTAGATCCTTTAACTGAAGAAAGTTTCAAGTACGAACAGAACCAATTTTCTACTGCAAACAATGCAGACGGGGATGGAGGAATATGGGCTAATTTCGGTGTATTTATGGTATCCCTACCAGCAATTTCCACGTTTTGGAATTCCAATAAACCGCAGTTAGTGAACATTGCGTAACTTCCCAGCATTATTCATTCCCAAAATCATCTCCCACTACTCTCACGCAATGCCTCACTTTTGTAGCTTTAATAATGGTTACGTTGAAAATTATTGTTAGAGGTGGCAACCAGCCTAAGGCTATATAGCCATCGAACAATCATTGGCAATAAAGAGAATTTCTGTTTTACGATCGGAGAAATATGAAAAATCGCCAGACAATAAATCCTTCTATGTTAATCTGTACAAATAAGCCGATAATTAGTGGAATTATAAATACACAAAAGAAATTCAAAAAAAAAGGAGATAGTGCCTTCATGTGAATAAAGTTTTAATTGGAGTATTCGAAGCATTGTCTTTATCTAAAACAAACCATGCATGTGGTATGCTAGATGGTGATCAGTATTTGCACCACTTGAGCGAAGTCTTATTTGTGATGATACCTGAAACTCTAAAAGTGAAAAGCTGACCTTACAATTTTTATGAAACCATCTTACAAGTCCCTTTACGTTCCGTTTACTTTTATCTGCCACGTATAAACTACACTTTAATGTTTGTACAGTGAATCTTCGTAAAAGGACAAGGAAGGATAGACAGCACATCAACAGTCTCTCCGACAAGCAGCCCTTGTCGCAATTCACCACCACGAAGTACAACACCACAACAAGCAAATATCCATGCCGCTACTCCCCTGGACGTTTACATGGCCGGAACACCGTCACTTCTTTCACTGTTTTATTTGGTCTACAATGCTTTTCTTGGTATTTGGCGACTGGACGGCACTATTTACTAGGGGTCATCGATGGATGAGGGTCCCGCGAATTGGTGGTGCTGCGGCGTGGTTGGCCGTGCGTTAGTCGTGTATTAATAACTTTGTATAAATTTCTGCTAGCATCTTACATTTTGAGATGCAGGTGTTGACTGTTGCAAACCCAAGTAGCTTGCTGTGGGGTTCGGAGGGTCCTTTTTCTCTGGAAAAACTCCCTTTTGTATCAGATTAACATGGGAATAATTGGATAATTCCATAAATGCAATCGTATTTTTCTCGCTTGCCGGATCGTGGTGATAATATTACTAAACTAATTTATTTTAATAGCTTATTATCACTATTTCTAACACTATCGATTTCTTTCTGACCAAGTTGGTGTATTCCGTTCGACATATGTTATTCAGTCAAATTCTGCTAAAGAAGATTTTCGAAATAACCGACGGTTGTAGTTCGTTTACAGGCGTAAAGTTCTGGGCGGACAAGCTTTCAGTTTATCAGCGAAGGAGCGAGAGCCAAGAAAGGACGGCTAGAACCATAGGTTTGGAGACGTCCAGACGTGATATTACGTAATATTAATGTGTATTGGATGACAACCAGTAGTTCAAGTACCTTTCCTTCTTTCTGTTCCTTTTCCAACCATAAAGGTTGAAATTTTGTAAATGTATTTTCTTACAGTGATGATTAATTTTGAGGATTATGAGTAACTTCCTGAAGTCGTTATTTTCTTCGATGTCGCCAGGAATGTGCATTCGTTTTTACGCTTTATAGGATTTTATCAGTTCCTTGTACATATGGTACAACTCTGCATGATCTCTCGAAAAGGCCTGCTGTGGCAGCTAAACAGTTTAGGATGTCTTGGACATAGTCGTACATAACTTTTTGGGTTAGCACACAACAGAACTGTTTTCACACCTTGACTAAGATTTTAGGATATCTCTACTCTACAAACTTAACTGTTTCCGTAATAAAATCATGAAATTCTTAAATATAGATGTGATAGGTGATGTCCATATGCCAGTTCGTGGCAAGATTTTTTTTGTTAAACTTTTTCAATCTTTAATACATTATTTCTTGAAAGCTATAATTTTTTCTCTCTCTTGAAACTGCTTTTTTATGCATGCTTATCGTTTTTCACGGTGCTGTTCACCAATTGGGTTCTCAAAAATTCCTATTTTCTGCGAAGTCTAAAAAAGCTTGAAAATATACTTCGACTTTTTTCATGGGTAACCGTTAATCTTGCACATAGTTTGCAACCATCAGTTGAAATGCTTGATGTTATTGTGTAAGTGCCAAATATAGTTGAGAAATTTGAACAACAGGTCGAAGATTAGATCTTCTGTAATAGATATTTCTACATGAGTGCTAATACTAGCATATTTGATCATGAGAATTAGATATCAACGCATGTGATGTTCAATTATATCGCGAGAGGATATAATCGCACACCATCGAGCAAACTTATGTGTTGGATTCACCACGTAATTGGCATGAAGCAGTAAAAACGTATATGTGCACCGAACAATTGTTGAATGTCATTTTTTCATTAAAACTGTTATTTCCTTTAAAACATTATAATCCGGAACTCGATTTAGTTTTTGAAATAGTATAAGGTTATTTGTGCTAAACTTCCCATATTAAGTTTTCGAAGAAATTACAAAACTAATGTTTGGATCTTGAGTATAAGGAATATGTCTTTAATGCTTATCTTGTCATTTTGTGCTACTTTCTACTTATGCCACTAACCTTTGTTTGAATTAAACTCCTGCTTTGTGGTATATTTTGTAGCGGACGTTAAGTAACTGAATACTAAACATGATTGTTGTCTCTTAAGATAGTCATGAGAATACTAACTCGGATTACTGTAGGTTTAGGTAGTAGTCTAGTTTTTCATCTCAATTTCATAATACAGTTTATTTTCTAGGATTTTAATATATATTGTATAATCAATTTTATTATTATTATTATTTATATATATTATATATACCTAAAGTATTCGATTTTAAGATTTTAAACTTCAGTGATTGCTATGCAATAATGCTTTCTGCTGTGAAGTGTTGCTTGGGGAAACAGTACTGAATGTGATTAATTTTAATACCTTCCACTTTTAAAGATAACAGGATGTTAAAACTTTAAACCGCTTAACCATTCTTAGCTGTTTGAAATTATAGGATTGTTGTATTCATGTTGTTTTAGTTATTTCTCAAATTAAAAAAAAAAAAAGAGTGCTTTTGTCAGAAAAATTTTTTTTAATGCTTTAATATTCTGTCAAATTTGAGACACGAAAGCTTTTATCCACGAAATGGGTATAAGAAAGGAAGGAGCTGAAAAGTGTGGAAGATTCTAGATGTGATCTAAATAAAAACTGTTTAAAATCTGCTTCTCTAGAATTTACTAGTAACTTGTAAGAAATCACTTTAGAACTGTTAAGAACGTATAAAAGCAAATGATATGCAATATTTTGTTTAATGGTTTCAAAAAATTGAAATTTTTTAGGTGGATTGAGGAGCTAAATAAATCATTTTCATCAGACTAGCAACTGAGGGAGTAGTCGGTGCACCACTTGCTGTGTTACAAACCTATTAAAGCTGAAGTTTTATTATCATGTACAGGCGACAAATGCTGTTCTTTCCCAGTACGTTCTTTTTTCTGGATAAAAACTCATGAATATGAACAAAATTTAATAATTTCAATCATGATTGCTTGCTCCTGCATGAATACCTTGTGGTTGTTTTGAAGTGCTACGATCAGCTTGTTTGCTGCCGGAATAATGATGCTGCTCTAAATTTATTGCCTGTGCCGCACTGTTCAGTTGTTTTTCTACGGCGTTCCGAAATAGTGGCACACTCAGTGTATTTGCATGGCAGTGATAGACCTGCTGAAAAAGGCTTGCTATCACATTTTATAACGTAAAATGTGTAAAATGTTGGTTTGGGTGTCATTTGTTCGAATTACTCTGTTGTAGCCAGTTGCACAAGCACTGTTCTTTTTGGCCTTTTTCTCAATCTTCGCATACTTGTTTTGCTGTGGCTTGATGCCTTCCTGTTATTGCCGTACATGTGCTACACTGGGTGGTTTTTATAGCTAGAGATTAAAATAAGTGAAAAGCAGTTTATGGCAGCAAACATGTTGAAGTGTTAGTACAACGTTGTACTAAATTTTGTTTTGTAAATAAACTTTATGACTTAGCAAGATTCTGTTCTGTCTGTTGTCTGATGTATGTTTTTAAATTTGGAAACTCAGATTCATGAAGTTAATCACAGGTTTCCCAAAATTGAATGGAATTTCAGAGCACGACCTGTCATATGTGCCGGGTGCACATCATCATGAATTTGCACTGCCAAATGGTGATACGCTTGGACATGAAAGATGTGCCACCTCAGCTGGCTTACCGTTAACAAAGTCGGAAAGTACGGACGGTAGGAAGAAGCTACCGAATGGTATGTTGCGGGTGCATCGTATAATGACTGAGGAAGAACTTGCACAGGGTAAAGAACCGCGTTGGACGGAGCTGGAGATACGTGGTTTGTTTTTCTTGGACCCCAATAGATGTAATAGAAAACGGCATGAATTTAGCTGAGAAATCAATTTTAAGTCAAGCAAGAGAAACTGTTAGAACATTTAAAAGTTCGTGGTGGTCTCTTTTCTAATTTTTCATTTAAATCCATCAATCATTTTAGTTATTTTTCAGGTCGCAATCTAAGTCCATTTTTGTGGGAAATGAGATGCCTTACCGCCCTTTTCTTGTATAGAAACCATCTGACAAGGTGATGTTTGCTGTTATTATTTTTTGCTTATTTTTTATCTGAGCAACAACGAAAATGGATGGCACGTGGACAGAAATACTGAAGCTTTGATGATTAATAATGCTAGAAATAAGTACTGTGTTGTTCACTGTACTTCAGCAAATCTTTATGTTCTTTCAGAATTCCTTGCGAAATTTCGAAGTTGGAGAACTTAACGGTGCTGGATTTGTCAGAAAATAAATTACGTAGTCTGCCAGCCGAGCTGGGCGATATGATCTCTTTATGTCACCTATACCTCAATGGCAATCAAATAAGGGTCCTGCCTTATGAGTTGGGCAAGCTGTTTCGTTTACAAACCCTAGGTTAGTAGTCTTATAACCTAATTGTTCATAACTCAGATACAGCGAATGTTTACATTGTTGCTTTTCAGATCTTCGATCAAATCCTCTTTCTCCCGAAATTAATAAAATTTATTATGAAGCTGGACCTCAGAAACTGCTTCGATTTTTGTTAGATCATTTGGCAAGTATGTTTTCCATAATTTTGTACTTCATCACAGTAAATGAAACGCTTGTTTTGATATTGTGGCCCGATGCACTTTTGCTTTAATTAATATTTATGTCTAATTTCCTCTGCTGATTAATATTACTGTAAGTGTACTCTGTGTAGTTACATAACTATGAAAATTTGCTTGTTATATTTGTGATTTCGTAGTATTTTGGTTCATTCATTATAAACTTTCTAGGCGATTAACTTTTCCTCGAAAATCTTGATTGATGTTTTAGTAAATACGACAATACCTCCGGATCGCCAATGGATAATGATAAGGCACGCAGATCCCGAAAGACCGATCGGTATCGAACGTGTTAAACTAATTCAGTAAAACACGATTTCTGATCTCTGGACACTTTTACCACTTGACATCTTTTTGTTTTATTTGATTACATTTCTGTTCCGTCGAAATTTTGTTGCTACGAAAATCTTACTCTCACTGGAATATGTTTCAAAATTTTAATAATAATTACTTATATCCATCGTTATCTTCAGCAACGTTCACTGTTCTTTGTTATAACGTTCTATGTGATAAATATGCCACGAACAGTCTCTACTCATATTGTCCATCCTGGGCTCTCAATTGGGAATATCGAAAAGCAGCTATTTTAAAGGAAATTCGACATTACGAAGCTGATATTATTACCTTGCAAGTATGTTTTTGTTTGTTCCTCTCATTTGTATAATGATATCAAATCAATTTTGTGTTGAAAATATTTTCTTCCTTCGTCCTGGTTTTGTATTGAACTTTTCTCATAATTCTTCATTCTGAAAATTCTAGTAAATTTGTTTTTACTATAGGAAGTAGAAACTGAACAGTTCCGTTGCCTTTTTCAACCTGAGTTAGAACAAATCGGATATGCGGGCATTTTTTCACCAAAATCACGGGCGAAAACGATGGGTGAGGAAGAGCGAAAATTTGTTGATGGTTGTGCGATTTTTTGGAAGTATGACAAGTGTGTTGGATTGTATTTTCTTCAGTTCGACTGACTGAGTTTCAAATTCACTTATAATTTTCATAGTTTTCGTTGTAGTTATCAGCACTTTAGTATAAATCATGAAGGGAATATGGACGAAGCTTATATTGATTATCTTTTGCATAAATCTTATTCTTTTTACAGTATTTTTTCTTAGCACGATTTAGCTTCTAACTGCCGCTTCTCCTGTTTGTGATTTAAAATTTCACTCAAAAATTTGGTTGTTGGAAAAGTATATTTGCAGATTTGAGCTAGAAAAAGAACATCTCATTGAGTTTACTCAAGTAGCTATCAAGAAAGCTCCAACAAGTGAGAAAATCTTGAATCGTGTTATGCCAAAAGATAATATTGCTCTTTGTGCTGTTTTCAAAATCAGGGAAAATGTCTACGCTAATCGTTCGTTTAATTATTTATTCTTGGTATACAGAGTATAAACAGTTACTGATGGGATGTGGTTGTTTATCGATCACAGCTTTCTTAATTTTAAGTTTATTTCCACAAATAACGCGTTCATGATGACACTTTCATGTAAAAATAATTTTAAAATCTTTTATTTCATTTCTCATATAAAAACCAATAGATGTCGTCTTTCCGAATTTTTGATTTTCTGTGAACTGTTTTTCCGGCAGCAAAAAGTGGTGGCTTATTGTTTTAAGAACCTGCAGGACAAATGACTATGGCTCCAAGCGACAATGTGGTTGGAAATCCACTTGTTGTAAGTACCGCACATATTCACTGGGATCCAGAATTTTGCGATGTAAAGCTGATTCAGTCAATGATGTTGGTGCAGGAGATAAATACTTTGCTAGATGAAGTGTGTTTTTTTTTTTTTTTTTCTGAGGATACTGAGTTCAAAATTTAGTTGTGAAAATGATGTTTGCCGTTCTCCGAGAAAAATGTCATTTTCTGTCTTTTAGATATCGGAAAGATATCGTATAACACCTCACCAGATACCAGTTCTGATTTGTGGCGATCTCAATTCACTTCCTGAATCAGGTTTCATCATACTGCATTGCTATATTCTAATGATTAATAGTTAATGTTTTATCTCTAGCACATGTCAATAGTATTTTTTCTTAATATATAAGTTTCTTGATATCTTTTTTCGAAAACTTCACAGCAGTTTCTTAGGTGTTGTGGAATTTCTATCGAAGGGAGCAATTTCAAGGGAGCATCCAGATCTCAAGGAATTCCGTCAGGATCCTTGTATTACACGTTTTAGTGCATCCGATGATCCCACGGTTTATACTCACGGACTCAGACTTGACTGTGCTGTGGACCCTAACTCAATGCCATTTACAAATTACACGTTGGTTTTAAATTTGAAAATATGTGGTATACAAAATCCATGATTCTTTTAAAAATAATTTTTTTTAATTTAAAAACAATCCTAGCCAATAAAGAAAATAAATCGGGTAAATTATTTGTTAAGAAAATCAAATTTCATGCCTGTGTTTTGAGTCATTTTTGCGTCTTTTCCACCACTGCCGCTTATTGTTATCCAAAGTAAAAATTTCGGAACATGAGTGAACTTAAATTTCAGGCTTGAATTTAAAGGTGTTATCGACTACATCTTCTCAACTCCGCAATCATTAGCCCGTTTGGGAGTGTTGGGACCGCTGAGTATGGAGTGGGTGTTGGCAAATAAAATAATCGGCTTTCCACATGCTCATGTGCCCTCAGACCACGTACCAATAATGGCCCAATTTGCAATTATTCCAACGAGCCATCAGCGTACCCAGCCTGTTGTCCATCACTATGGTAACAGTCATTCTAGTTCATTTGGTGCTGTTGGTCGATAAAAATTCACGAATTTCCGTATTAAATTTGCACAGTCTCAGGAAATAGTTTCGTTGTTTGTCAGGTCATCAAGATTGTATTTATTTCAGTCGTGTCATTTTCCTCCGTTATTTCTATATTCTGATTAAATCAGAACTCTAATACTTGGGATTAGATTAACCTGAGGTATGGTACTTTGTTTTGCACAATATTTAACTCTTGAAGTAAAAATCGAGCTTGGGCTCTAAAATATAAATGTGGTTTCATTGAAACTGATTTGTTTGAAGGAAATAGTGATGTATTTCTGGCTGGAGATTTATGAAAGTTAAAAGGTTGCTGTAACTCAGAGAAATGGCATGTATTCCTATTTGGTTCGTACTAGTGTTAGTCAACAATAGCTATGTTTCACTGAGCTACTGATGTCAACAGAGATGCCAGATTAGTTTAGGCTCTTATGTGCCTTTTCCGTTGAGGAATGTTTTTTTTTTTTTCTGTAATTCTTCACTTTTTCATTCCAAGTACCAACCAGTTTAGGCTCCTTTGTGTTTTTTACCGATTTATTCAACCGGATTTCTCAACTAGTTTCTTGTGTTGCGAAAATAATCTCTTAAGGGATTTTCAGGTTTTTGTTGTTCGATAGTAAGTTTTGCATTCCTTCCATTGCAATTAATAAAGCTTTTGTTTTGATAGGATTATTTTCGTTCGTATTTCTCTTCAAGTATCGTTTTTAATTAATGTTTCAATATACCTCATCGACTAAGCCCTTTCTTTTCCTCATATTTGGCTTTATAATTAGGCCTGAAAGGCGACCTTTTTAAGAGAAGGTTGTTTAATAATTGGTAGTTTAGTTTTTTGTTTGACCTGTTGTTTTTTCCATTGATATTTTCCTTATTTATCCAAAAATTTTATTTTGTTTTTCCGCGACAATTAGTGTTACTACTAACAGTTTCCGAAATGTAATATCTTGTCTGAGCTGTGTGTAACTTTCCTTTAGAAGGCATGAAAACTTAGCAGAATAACCAGACTTCAGTAGCCAGTAAATACGTTGTCTCATGATATTCGTAAATGGTACACTGCTGGAAATGCCTTTGCTCGTTATTTCCTAGAAATGTATATTTTTGTTTATTGTGGTAAATCTAAACAGGAAGCAAAACAACAAATAACAAGTAAGCTCTTTTTTGTTATTCATTGTCATTGTTTTGTTTGTAACTGGATGTACAACAAATGTTTCCGTTCTAATTGACAGTTTGACAGTTGAATTTTTCAATTTAAGACATCTTGTTATGACGATTATCATCTCTACCAACAATTAGTTTTAACGCCTAATTTTAATTTTTGCTTCTTTGCGTATTTTTTTAATGACATTACTATTGATATAGTCGTGAAACTGTTTGCTCCTCGTTTTGATTTTCCGCTGATTTCTTGCAAATCTTGAAAACTTTCCTCATAATTTTTCCCTTAATATTTACATGTAACTTAAATCAATATTTTAAAATGTTTTCTTCATTTATACTCATGATCTCGTTTGTTGAAGCCTTTTTTCGGATAAAATCCCACTGAATGCCTTGAAGTCATGTATTAACGTATTAAATTCATAACGACTTTGGGACAGATTAAGACGTATGAAAGTTCATAATTACATCAGAATTTAAATTGCTTAAATAATCTTTTTTTAGCTGTACTCTGTTAGAAAATGTCAAGCATATCCCAGATTTGAATAACTACCGTTCTCAATGTCCCAATTCAGACAGTTTCATGGAATCGTTATTCCCATGATTTCTTATCTTTTAAATATGGGAAGGATGGGGATGAACTGTTTTGTAGCTATAATAAATGCGTCATTAGTTTCTTAGTTCTTCATTTTATTTCCTAATAATGTTTCTTGAAACTTACGAAATGAAAACTGAGTCACATCGATGGACATCACTGCGGATTTCCTAGTCGTTCTTTTCACTTTGGCATAAGTGTTCAAAAAATGGTGTTTTCGAGGATATATGCAGCATCACTTTGTTAGTAGAAAGATCACATAGTTTCGAAGTCGATTATTTCCTTCCTGAACTTTTCGTGCATTCTTCGGCAACCGGTGCGAAAAAGTGAACTGTCTTACGACTCAACACTACCCACATTCACTGGCCTGATGCATTATTGCAAGACTTAATCCAGCCAAATTATTTAATACTATAATGAAATACACTACTTTTCGTCATGGAATAACTTAGCGGATCGTTCAAGGCTTGTTTATTGTCCATAATAAGGCAATAAATTCGAGTGTCCATGACAGTGAGGCTGAAACGTGAACATGAGATGTGGACGAGTCATTTCCCCCACTCCCTTGTTTTCTATCCATATTTTAAAGCCATGCTTCCAGAATTCTCCCCATCACATTGGCACTGCTGTTTCTATACTTCCAGTAGCCAAATCCACTCCTCGAAATAAGAAAAGTTCTTTTAGAAAGTGCAGTTCTCAGCAAGGTTCGCGGAATCCAATATGTTATCTTTTCCTCACAAAACCACCTTCCACTGATTCTAAAACGTGCCCTGGAAGATAACCCCATTTATCTGCACAACTATTATGTAAACCAGCAACTTTTATGTGACAAGACACAAACGTCAAAAAAATTCAAGATACACGATATGAAATGAAAATCACCGAATGCCGAATAACATATCTGCTTTTCCGAAAATATTCGACGTATAAAGGTTTACCACATAATCCACGATGGACTAGTTACACCAATCTACAAATATGGAAGTTTTTGCGAGCAGATTCCCCATTCCCACTTTTGTAAGTTCACCATTCGTTGGCCTTCTGCCATAGCAAAAGACTTCCAAACCAAACATAGCTTTTCCGAAGAAAATTTAGAACGACACAATTTGTCGAATGTGGAACATTTTTCACAGTCGGTTCTTATGAATTAAGAGAAAAAAAAGTTTGAGGTAACATCGAGGAATGCAATAAACTGTAGGTGGAAAGGTAAGCATAAAAAATGAACCATAGTAATGAGGAGGTAAAACAATGACAGCATTAACTGAACATTCATAACATCAATAAAATTCTTTCAGTGCGATCATTAAAAGTGTATCCTAATCAACGAAACAATAACTTGCGAAGATCCCAACCTGCAAGAGTTGTGGGAACTTCGCTTTTTTTTTCGATTTAAATCGAAAAAGCTGATGTACACAAACTGCAATACCACAAACGCGGTGGCGTACAAGAAATAAGCAAGCACAATTATAGTGAGTCTCCTGGGAGCCAGAAAACACTGCGTTTGAAGTGAACAAGAAAACCAACACCACTAGAAGGAGAATCATCAAAACACCGACATCAAAAAAAAAAAGAGGAAAAAGATTTTGTGACAGATTACCAATTCACTGAGGTAAAACATCCAAACTCGTCGAGTGGATCTGCTCAAAAAAACGAGTTAATATAGTCCTGACAAATAAAAAATCCCAAGTAAAGAGACCACAGATCAAACAAAATGTAGAAATGAAACCAATGAAAAAACGGACCTGAGGTAGCCATAGTATAATGAAAAGAAAAAACAACAACATTCCTGAGTAACAGCAAAATGCACTGACCAGCTACACATACATAAACACACGGAACTACTCGCATTTTCCCAAAATCGAAAAATGGGACGTTTTTAGGAGACATGATTAACGGAATGAGTGCACCTGGTTTTAAATAATATTCCACTTGTCTAAGGTAAGCATCCCGATAAAATACTGACTTGACCAATACGAAATTTCATCTTCCCAAGTATAAAATGTTTTATACGACAAAACGTGTCATAGCATATATGTATGCTAAATCACCAAATCTTGACTCGTTCTTCCTGAAAGACCGCTTAGCCATACCATAAATGTAAGCATACATACTAAGCTGACATTTTTCGCAGTGGGAAAAAAAAAAAAAAAGCGAATGATGAAAAGATTCAACAAATCATAACATGACAGCAGAGTGAAGTAATAACACACCGAGTTTGTTACTGAACAGAGCAAAGCATACATAAAGAAAAATGCAAAATTTTTTTTAAAAATTTAATCTGAATTTAATATACAATTTTTTGCAAGTAAAACTGAGTAGTGACAAGTAAATTCAAAAAAAAGATGAAAAAAAGACGAAAAATGGACCTGAGTTGGTACCTGAAATGGATAAAACAACACCTGAGGTGAAACCAAAAAAATGAAAAACTGTAACTTAGTTGAAAAGTATCCCTGAAAAGAACAACGAAGAAAACAGCGAGTAACAAACAGCACCACACTGGGTCACATTCTAAAAAACAGCACAAATTAACGAATCCTTAGTGTGACTGCTGAAAAAAACTGACTTGTTCGCTGCATGTCAAATTTAGCTAGCATGAATCAGTGAAAATCAGTAAGTAAGAGATAAAATGGGAAGCAATAAATCCAAATTTTCGTTTCTGTTCCCCGTTAACTTGAAATTCTGCATAGCTAAATTAACATTGGAACGGTCAAAAAAAAAAAAAAAAAAAAACTATCTAAACGTGGGTTTAAGTTTTCTGGGAAAAATCTCTGATTCACTACTGGTTCCGACTAGTAGCAGTCACCGTTATTATTAATATGATTAGCAATCACACAATTGTAACTGAAAACTTTAGTTTAAAAAAAAAAAAAAAAAAAAAAAAAATCAGATGTATATATATATTAAAAAAAAAAAAAACACTAAATTGCATCATTTTATGTCCTAAATTAGAACATACGCAGAGATGTTAGGCAACACTAGTGTCAGGTTTAAACGACGCCTGCAATGGGGTACTCTGCATGCCTTTCAGATGTTCTTCATTAACCTGTAAACGATGCTCCAGGGCTGCATTAAAAGTATCTGTTGCATTACTTTTCAAATTGGAAAGGAGTGGAGCAGCAGCTTTTAATGCATCACTATCAACAGCAACAGCACCCGTGGTACTAATCTGTAAATGATGATGGCGATGATGATCCACAGCACTACTTTCGCGAAGTCTTTTGGCATCACGTTCTTCACTTCTTGTCTTTTTCGAATGCCGCACACGTCGGCAACGAGCAGCCAGTTTACGCGTCACATCACGAAACACTTCCCAAAATTCATCCTCATTGGGGATTCGATGCATCATCACTTTACGACAAACATCTGTAACGCAATAGTTTTATAAAAAAACTAGCGTGAATTTCATTTCATTAACAAGTTATATGCAATCAACTGCTAATGTAATTGAACTGATACTAAAGAAATTACTTAGCCCTGAATCTGAATTTGTTAGAAACCTCATGTTAAGTTTTAAAAACTTACAAGCAATGTAATGAATGCCTTCTTCAGGAAGATTTTTGTAAGTTGAATGATTAGGACCAGCAACGGTCGTTTGTGCCATTAGCTTGGTACCAAATACCCGCTTTTCAGCCAACATTTTCGAAAGAAAAGCCATTGCCTTGCGTACATCATCATCACAGCGACGATTTTGATGAAACTGGTGAATAATCTGCTCTTCGCTACAAGGTGTGAAACCTGAAGAGTTGAAATTAAAGAGTTTCTTACCAAACCAAAATCAAAATGACTGCAGCAAATTTTAGAACTGTCTGAAATTAAAAAGCTATCGTTGCTAACCTGGATCTGAAAGATAAGCTTGGGGCACCGGAATTTTTATATCTGAAATGCTGCTTTGAGAAATGCCCTTCTGACGTATGAATTTTACATAATCATCTGACACAGGCTTCTGAAAAAAATGAAATTTTGATAAAGGCAAATTCCGCAAAAAATAACGATACTTTTATAATACATTCATATACCTTTCGACAGGGCGAAGCATTAGAAAGATGTTGTCGCTGTTGTCGAGCTAATGTATTTTGGGAACCATGACTGCTGTTTAACATCTGCTGAACCAGATGTTGATGAACTTGTTGATTTCGTCCAGCTAATGTTTCCAGATGAGCCGGAAGGCCACAGCTTAGCTAAAATGACTCTTTTAAACATCAAATCTGCTTCGCTAAAGCTACTCAAGGAGTTCATGGTCTATGATCTTCTCGCCAAAACATTTGCTTAAACTGTTGATAACTTCATGGCAAATTATTCCGGATGACATTAATTTATGCTTCGGCATTTAAAATTACGAGAAAAATAGGTTTTGCGTAAGTAATATACTGTTTGATCAACGACATTCGTAGAACTCAGGTGAAGCTGAGAGGGATGATCCTGTTTAGACTGTTCTTGCCGCGTTTGTTGTATGTGATGTAACTGTGTTGATGACGATTGTGGCAGATGGCCCTGTCCATTCACAACTAGTTGTTGTAACAGCTGCTGCTGTAGAAGCAAAGGATTTAGTGAAGACAGTGAATCTAACTTCGACGCGAATACGTGCGCTACATTCTGCAAAAAAAATTATATCAATAATTGCAGAAAATATGAAATCCCTAATACTCAATCTAAGTAAAATACAAACACAAAAAACATATAAGTACAGAATGAATCGCAAGAACCTATTTTAGAGCATTGTTAAGATTTTTTCCATAGTTGGAAATCTGAGAAAAGAAAGTACATTTTTTTGATTAGCAAATCATTTACAATTCAAGCAGATCGACATCAACATAAACAAAATTCTCAATTCGAAACTCACATCCGTACTGCTAATGACACTCTTAGTAGTAACTGAAACAGGCGGTGAGCACATATCGTTGTTGTTATCAATGCTTACCGGATCAATTTGTGCATCGCCTAAATAATATTTGTCGTTGGAAGACGAAAATATACGGCTTCATTTAAATAACGAATTACTTTCACATTTCAAAAAAAAAAAAAAAGTCAACACTTTACGGGGAAAAAGTAATCAGACATAAATATATCCGAAATTACGAAAACTGAACCACAATTACATTATTACAACAGAAAGTTGCTGAAACAACGTTTCTACCTATCAAAGAATGTATATTCTATTCAATTAACAGTTTTTACAATTACCCCAACAATTTAAAAAGATGTATTGCGTAACCAAATAAATCTTCCTTTGGTAATATTCACAAACACTATTATAAATTTGACTGCAAGGTCTTCATTGGTAACTTTTTAAGGATTACCATTTGAATCGCATTTTCGGTCGAGGTTCGATGAATTCCATCTTTTTATTGAACCAAGCTGTAGCTGTTCTTGCAGGTTTGGTGGCAAAATTGGACTCGTATGTTGTAACAATGACGGAAATAGCCAAGGATTCCACTGTAACAATGGGCTTGGCACTGAAAAAGGAGTATAGTGGAAAGTAAATAAAACGATCAAAAAATGGCATAGCTCTCCGCAAAAGAGACAGGAGCTACAAAAAACTTTACAAAGTTTGATTTGTAAAAATCTTCAAAACAAACTGACATGCAGGCAATGGTCTCAGCGCAACGGGACATTCAGGAGTGACTGCATTCTTCCGAGGAGTTGACGAAGAGCTTGCCAAAGTATTCCCCAGTTCACTACCGGTCGCAGCACAAACCTGATTGATAAGAGCTTGCATATTCCTCTCGAAATGCTGTTTCATTTCTTGCACTTCTCTGCAAGTCGAAATATTCAATACGTCACTGATGCAGATACATATATCTTGTTCACTCAGAACAAGCCAAAAACAAGCTAAAAAATTCCAGTTTCCGGATACTACTTATATTCAAGATTTTCCACCTTACAGTATAAATCCATATCTTCAAAACAGAGGAAAAATGACACATTTTTTGCTTCGAACGCATATAGAAATACTACTCCTGATGTGCGACTTGCATAATATCCTGTTTCGAGAAAACTACGCTATGAATTTTACTGACACTGGATCGGGAAATAGCAAAGAATCGGTTAAAAAACGATTTGCAAGTTAACGATGAGACAATTATTGATGTTGGTTCAGTCTCAGTAATAAAAACGTGGATACTCTAGATAAAATAAAAATCAAAAATGGAAAAATTAAAGAAGTACAAATCAAAATGCCTACAAAAAACTGCAAGTTATCAAAATTTTTCATACTGTACCAAAATCCTAACCAAATTAAAACTGAAAATTCTTCACATCTGATATGACCGTTTACTAAACATTTCATTTTATGACTATTTACGATTGACTTCTTTTATACATTCATTACATTAGTGAAAATTGCACTGCTCTAACCGCTGTTATAAAAACAAAAATTATCCCGAGCTTTGGAATGTTTGCTGAATTGTATTCAAATATGAAGGAATACTTATACTTCAAGCTACGTCAGTATATGTCAAAAGCAATCAACAAATCTGATGTTCATTGCGACGATATGCATCCACATTATTATAACAACTCCGTTAGTGCATATAACAAATCTCAAAAATAAAATAAGACAAAATAAAGTTCGAGATCCTACTTTTTGATCTCCAAGCATCCTTGGCAAATTGTTGTAGAGGGATGTGTGCTTGCCACTGTTGGCTGTGTTGCTCGATTATTATTTGACAAAGATGATGAAACAGTTGTTGGTCCCGCAAAATCAAGCGGCTGCTCTTCTTTCATCCGCCAACTTGACGACCCAGCTTGTTCTAGCTGCAAACTACTGTAAATATCAGAAATTTTAGGCGAGGAAAAATTCCTTCAGCTAATTCCGCTGCTGCAGCTAACCATCCAGTTACTAACTCGTCTTATTAACAGGACCAAAGTTAACTGGATTAAACACAGACTGGATTTAGAATAAGCTAGACATGATTCTGTCAAAATGTAACAAAAAACCACATAAACTGAAGACGAATTATGACCACACTAACATAGTAGCATAGTAGATCACATCGACAACTGGCAGTTGTAGTTGTGAAGTGATAAAGTGATTTACCCATAAACAAACCTAAATCCAAATTATCGCTCTCTACTCGAGGTTCAATCGTAGTGAATACAAAATAAGAACAGTGGAGAAGACTGAACGGACGAAAAAATAATCAGATGGATTACAGATGCCCAATTTTCGCAACCTTCTAGTGAGCAAGAAAGGTTCTAATACATAGTCTTTCACACACAGTTGAGATAGCCAGCGGAAAGTATCACATTTGCTGGTCTTCTTTTCTCCTCTCCGTCCATCTTCTGTCACCCTATCATCTTTTCTTCCTTCCATCATCGCCTGATGCTGTGTGTGTATGTTTTGTGTTATTACCAATACTGTGATGGATTTGCTTGGGTGTTAATAACTTGTGTACGTTAATATGTCCACCCACTCACACATAAGCGCAGATGGAAGTCGTAGCTAAAAATTACAACTCGGGTGACTTGTGCTTCATTTGGTTGCTTTTAGCTTTAGACCAGACCTGTGGTTATTTACATATATGTATAAAAAAATATATTTGAATATAAACCGAATAAATATAGGAATAGGTACTAAATAAATATATATATATGCCTATAAGTGTGTCAATGTTTGTCAATCGCACTTTATGTCACAATATCATCATCGCCATTAGCGCCAATACTTCTGCTTCTCTAGACCAACACTTGAAATAGCATCAGTAGCAGTATCACAAACGGAAGCCTAGCTTTCTACCTATTATCGGGTTTGTAGTACCATACGTGTCGTCACCAAGACACATTTTCGCTTTCAACTAATTCAACACTCCCTAATAAACCATCTTTATTGCTAACATCCCTGTGGAAACAAAGGGCGCCGAGGTCAGGGCTTATTGAACCAATCAGTGTTCAGATGAAAAAAATTCAGCAGTAAACTACTAATGCGTGGTTAAAATAAGGACCAACATGCGAAAAAGATGGGAAATGTATATTTTTACCATCCATATTATTAACTGAATATTATTAATCATCTATTGCTGAATAACATACGCATAATATGCGCGAACCACTCCTTTATCACCTCAACTTCTCACTTTAGTTCAGATTTAATCAACAACTGTATTATAATACCAGAAACCTCAACCAAATATTGATAATCATAATTGCCACTATTACCGATGAATTCAGATAAACTAAAAATATCAAGTCAGTGAACATAAATGCTTATAGATAAGAATCGAGGCATCGTACTGCTGTGCAAATTCTTAGAGACATGCGTCAGATACATGACCTACTCAAGCATGTTCTAAAAGTTTTCGAAATCGAATTATGCGAAAGCGGTGTGTGTGTGTGTTCTCTATAATATCGATGGTGCATAACTTCATGTGTACACATATGTACACAAACTCGCTGAGAGCAACTCACCAAGGTCACCGAGCAACTTTCATGACGGCTCTCATCAGATCTGCAAAACCTATGTTCCACAAATGAATATACATCATATTTAAATTTGAAAACATTTTTTAATTAAATACGCTAGTCGAATTAGAAATAGCATACTGATAATTAGCGACAGAAAATATCCTTCTTAACTAATACATGCTACCTGTAAGTAAACATGCAATTTGGAATCAACCTTCAAGTAGTTGGATTTCTTCTTTTAAAAATGGCGGGGATCTCGTTCTCGTCCAAATCTTGGATTGCTTAAATCCCCACAATTATTTACGTGTGGTATTAGTCCAGTCACGAGAATGCAGTAAATCTTGTATGGACATAATTGCTCGAGTAAGACAAGTAAAGAGATACTTCCAGCTGAGATGAAAGAGAAAATCACAGTGGACCGACTTTTACATGAAACATAGCTCTAGAAAACAATACCTGCTACACTAAAGTGTCATATATGTAAGTCCAACAACCTTTATCATCACTTCGACACATTGGCACAAATTATATGTAATCACGATGCTTCTGACAGAGGCCTGTGCTTGTTCTATTCTTTTCCCTTTTTCTTTCTTTCATACTCTTCCTTTTCACAAAGTTGTTCGAATGAGAGATGTTTGTGTGAGTTTTGAGGAAAACGGACAGGGACGCTGCAGAAGAGCGTCAACCACCCACCTCAAACCAACTGAATGTTCCAGTGCTCCACAATCGAGCGCATTCATTCCACTTCATTCAAGCATTCCTAACTCTCACCTTGCTCACCCTGCTGCCTTCCTCCCTTTCATAAGCCGACTACTCGTTGTCCTTCAGGGTCCTTTCTTCCTTCTTGAGCGTCTCAAGCGTCTCGACTCTCCAATCTCGCATGGAGTATCCAACTGAAGTAGCCAATACGATTTATGATCACCAAGCATCTTGATAAGCACGTGTCACATAGGCCACCTAACAGAAATAAAACCGTAATCCACAATTATCCAGGACGAATATTGCCTCCAGATAATGAATGAAAAAGCATAACATGTTTAACCCATAGTCCAGAGATAACCACATAGACATAGAGTTTAACAAAACAAACTTTGACGTTCAGGAATTCTGTGCACTAAAATCTAGTCAAAAAGCTTTTCTCCGAAATAAAAAAAAGAATCCAAATAATCAGTGGAATATAAAAAAGGAAACAAAGAATGCTAGATTTAGCTATTTATAAACTACAGTTGTCAAGAATTTACCAAAAAAAAAAAAAGAAATGCCAGTTGTGATGTCAAAAAATTAAGCTTTACTTCCAATTCTTCATTAGCTAATGAATCAGTGATGAAAAAAGGTTTAACATGAACTGATGGTTAGAGTTTAGGTGAACCTCACAACTGATTTTCTTTAAGCAACTGATATTCACTGTATGTTTAAAGCTTTCTGTGCGAGTGGAACTGATACACAAGCACACAGTTCAAATCTCACTGCAACTTCTTCACTGTTTCAGTGTGCTTCAAAGAAATCTATTGAGAAACTGATATTCCCGGAGATTAAAGGTTATAGCATGACTTTACATTCCAGAGAACAAAAACATTCCAGAGAACACAAAGCAGACAAAGAATGCAAAAAATGTTTACCTGTAAAAGTGCGGAAATTAACTGTTGATGAGGAAGTGTATTATGAGTGCCGCCGTGATTCCTCGGATCAATGATGATGAGTACGGAACACCCCGTATGAAAGGGCTGTTTACTAGTAGTAAATGAACCGTCCCAAGACCAAGTATCGCCAGAATTGGATTACAAGAGACAGCAGCGTCAATATTTAGTATCCTTATGTGTCCTTCGAATGATTTAGATAATGAATTAAGAGATATCGGATATCCTTCAAAGAGGTTTAAAAATAATAGAAACGGGTGTAAATCAGCATACCGCGCAAAGCAGCGCAGTGCATCGCGCGGCGTGCATATCGATGCGGCGGTTAAAGCTCAGTAAACGGAGCACTAATTGCATTTTGTTGCAAGTACTCATCGCTGCTTCTTTAATTGCGAACTTTTTTCGGAATGGCAGTCGGTTGTAAGCCGTAAGAGGAAGGAAGGAAGGAAGGGAGGAAGGCAGTCGCTCTTTGTCTTTCTTTCTCCTTCCCCCTCTTTCTGTGTGGTATGTGGGCAAGTACTGAGATGGGAGTGACGGAAAGACATGCATGCACGCACGCACGCACGCGTGCTACCAGCATAGCGCAACGATATCGCTGGCTGTCTGCTGGCTGGTTATGTTGGATGCCTGCACAACAAATGTCCTCACTGACTGGATGAGAACGCTCCGCTCCATCCCTCCGCCCCCTTCTCTCAACGCCTACGCCTCCCTCCCTTTTATTCAGTCTTTCTGCAGCACGATGTTGCAAGGCTCATTTGAAATTACCGAAAGAATAGCACTACATGCTATTTGCACCACTGCACGTCTTCTCCCGTCCCTCTCCCTCTCTGGCAACGAAATGCAGGGAGAGTAGGGGTGGAGGAATATGTTTGCGAGACAGTCTTTCAGCAGCGACGCGACAACGCTGTTCCTTAACATGGGAAGTGGGGCACTCTCAGCCTCTCCCTTCCTTCTTTCTCTCTCTAGCCCTTTAATTCTATTTAGGGAGGAGCAGATATAGCGTGCCATCACTTCTAGCATTGAGTGTTATAAAGGATTGTGTGAAGGTTACAGATCAGCGAGACACAAGACGAACTGATTGAGAGAGGAAGAGAGTGTGAACCTGGTATTATTTGCCACAAACAAACGATACGGTCATGCAGCGCTTTCCTCTTCCCTTCTTTCCTTCTCATACACTATGCAGAGAGACAGAGAACAGAGAGTCCTTCTTTGTAAAAGTATTGGCATGCGGGAAAGCGAGAAGTTCACAATACGCAATCGTTGAGTGGATGAAAAGAGAAATGAAATTGCGTGAAGCTTATACAGAGTGGAGGGGAAGGAGAGAAAGAAAGAGATGGTGAGAGGGAGTGAAAAGAAGTAGCAAAGTATCCTCGGATTAAGTTACGACGACGTAAACATTGTATTGCCGTAACGCGCTCACTCACTGCAGGCAAATAGCTGTTGTGTTTATCTTGGCACGCAACCTATAGCGTTGCGGTGATAGTCTAAGCTTTTGCGTTCTCTCTCTCGCGCTCTGTTTTCCCTCAATTCTGCTATGTCCTTTTCACAGCGGAAAAATGTTGCGGTTCTTTACGCTATTGCAGAGTTTGTGGACAGTTGTGCACGTTGCTAAGCAAAGTTCGTGATGTGAAATTACCGAATTTGTCCGCTTCCAAAATCTCCAAATGCTGGAAATGATTCTACAACCCGAAGTGCACATCATAATCTGTGAACAGTTCATCCGTCCTGCTCTTATTTCAGTTGAATCAACAAGAACAATCACCATCACCAACAGCAGCAGCAGCGGCACATAAATGACAGCCGTATTTTTGCAGTATGCGAAACATATAAAGTGAATTTCATAGAAATCCAATATTATCCCAGAGTTGAACAAACAGCAGCAATGTATATAGCTTACATATACATACGCATGCATAATAGAAGCATAAAGAGAAGCAGACTGCAAATGTCGCCTGGAACCAGTGGGAATGCAAATACCCACTCAAATGGATGAAGTTTACTCAGGTCGTTGCAATTCATGCATTTCGTGCTGCACAAACAATGCACCCATTGCGGGGACCAATTGAAATGACGAAATGTGATTCAGTCGCTGTGAACTTGAAAATAATTCGTCGAAAGAAATCATTGACTTCTTGTATGCCACCTTTTACTATACTGCATAATTCATTTTTATCTAAATTACAATTCCTTCACAATGGAAGCAAGTTCCACTTGTCTTCACTAACCTTCTAAATAATTTTATTATAATTATAAAGTTTGTGGCTTATAGGAAAGACGCAAAAGAAGCATTTTGACATAATTATGATGGAAGACCTGGTACCAGTATTTGTGAGAAGTTGTGCACAAAGGAAAGGAGAGAGTAACTTGTAATAAGGGGATAGTGATGGTGTAAGGAGACTGGTTCGTTCAGTGCTCGCCATGTGTTCTTCTTCTAGAAGCCAAACCAGTGAATTTCGGCTCTCGCCGTAAGCGGCATCTGAGCAATAAAGCACGTTAACTTCGACGTACCACTCACAATTTAGTATCACCACCAACACCACATTCATTCCAATATTATTATTGCTTCCATTGATATACCCAATAGGCTATTTATAGTAATGAACAAAGCTTGAATTTCTACAGTTTTCTGAATTGCATCCAATGACAAGGAGATCAGTCAGGTTCCCTTGTCCAGCTAATATTCTCAAAACGGTATTTATAGATTTGGAGGCGATAGTAAGTTATTCAGTTATTCACGCAACTTAGAATGACTGAATTATCCATTGAATTAGCAGTCTAAGCTTTCTTAAAAACAAAAAAACTTGCGAGCCGAATTGCATACATCACTAATACAATTCATCACTGATTGTCAAACAATTCATAAATAGTCATTTCAAAGCTATTATTACCTTGTTCCTTTCATGACTGTCTAATGTTCAAAAACGAAAATTCCCTCAGTTTTGTTCAGCACAACTTGAAACTTCCAATACTATATGGTATAATTTTGAAAGTCGAGATAACTTTATTCAGGGAAATGCAGAATCTTTGTTTATATAAAACCATTGATATATTGCCCACTTTTAGGGCATTCACGAGGTCAGTAATAAAATATAGCGGATTTCCAGAAGCCACAGGACTGTGCTTTTCCGGTTGTACGTCATACTCATTTTCTCCTCTACTACTCCAGTACTTGTCTAATTCGTTATTCTAATGGTTATATAATGATATATCCGTCCTTTTCAGCCACTTTTCAGAAAAAATGGCCAGCTTTTTTTTTTTTTTTTGCTTTATCTGTTCCTTATTTTTAAAAAGTGTTTACGATTAATTACACTAGAATAACGAGTGAATACCTAGTTGCAGTCAGCTAAGAAGACAGTTAGTCTTTCTTCTCCAGACTTTCAGGAAGAGTTGACCAGGCCTTTCTACACTGTCAATACTGTCAATAAATGCAGAGAAATTGTAATTTATAACCAGTGGATATAGTTTTACAAGTACTGGTTATATGTGCAGAGACTTTTTTGCGCAATCTTATATTGCATCTTTCAATTAAAGTTTTTGGTCAGAAAATAATTGCTGATGGTGAAGAAATTCGAATCGGGTGGTTGCTATGTTGAAGTCGAAGCTTTGATTGGCACGTTAGCAACACAATCTTCGTATATCTGTATAAAGGCGCTTAAAATCAAAATTCATTTATAACACTTCATTTCCACCCAGCGAAGGATTATAATATTGGACTGAATGAATAATAGCATGAAAGGAGCACCATCACTAATGATCATACCGAGCAATAATGTTTGAGCAGATGGGAACAATTCCTCCGCCAAGATTTTCATATAAATTGGTTGTTTCATCCAATTCTTAAGTGAATGCTTTCCTTGGGAACTGTTATTATCTATACAGTCTGACTGCATTAGAAACGAATGTTCAGTGCCAGTCTGACTAGTCAGTCAATTTTTTTGTTCTCAGGAATCTACAATTAATGAAAAATTACATGTGAAATTGAACTAAAACCCCAATTATTTAAATTTGTTTTTGGATTCTTTTCCAACATAGATGGTAATTGTTTCCACATTCTGATATTATCTTCTTACATTATTCTAAAGCTTTTACTTCGAAAAGGATACTTTCTTACTGGTTCAACTAAAAGTCAAAATATGTAAATGATAAGTTTATTGGTCAAGACGTCAGTTAACGAAATCCACACGCATTCCATAAAGGATGAAGCAAATATTTCACATCACTGCATAGGAACATAAAATCATTAGCATAACACTAAACAGTGTAGGTCAATTGAAGTTTTCATGAAACAGGAAAGTAACTATTTATGTTTAAAATTCACAGTTCATTATGAGAAAAACTACAACTCATAATGAGGAAAAATAACGTCGGTGTCTAACTAAAAACGAAAAAATATGAAATCGTTGATAAGGATTTCAATGCATAAAATTCTTTCAAAGAGGATTGCGTTTAAAATTATCAAAGACATAGAAATTTGTAAAATTATATATAAAACTGGAGAGGAAATTTCGAATATTATTAGCACTGAATTTACTAAACTGGATTATTGAAAATAATTATTGGTTAAAAAAAGGGCATTGAAACTAATATGAATAATCACATGCAGGGATTTCCAGATTTTTTTTTTTAAATTAGATTTCATGGCTAGAATTAATTAGCGCTAATTTCGTACTAATGTGCTAATTTCGTACTAATCGCTTTGTACTTATTCATAAAAATTCACTGGAATTTGAATTGAATTTACACAAAGAAATGATTAAAAGGTGTATTCAAAAACGACGGTATGAAGAGCTGTTAAATTTTTTGTTGCAAAATTAGATTTTTTTAACGCGGAATTCAACTGCATTTTAAATGCTGAAGAGCAAAACTCTGATTTTAACAGTTCTTGAATGTTATAAATATTGCAAATTTATGAAGCTCCAAAGCACTAAAACGAATTCAGAAATGCTAATTAATTTAACTGATTTATAGATATCGAAAGATGTCTTCATAGAAAACGACAAAAAAGAGAATTTAGTTCCTTTAACACAGTTCGATTGAAATAAAATTAGTACGGTGCATAAACGTGCAATATCGAGTACTTCTAAAAGGTTCGCAAATTTTTAGGCCATTACTCTTTGAGGAATGAAGGAAATGAATAGTGAACGGAACTCAGCTAATTGATGCAACAGGTGGAAATATGGCAGAACGGGATCCATATGAATACTGAAGTGATTGAATACGAGTCATGCATACACAGTGACCTTCTCCATCTTCTCCTGGAGTTGGTGGACTCCACGAATATATGCCATAGGCTAAATCTTGAATTAAAATGATTTTTCTATATTTCAGTGGATGAATACATCAATATGCAATTTTGCTAACGCCTTTTCTTATGTATAAGAAAGATTATTCATTTATGTGACGCTTATTTTGTTTGTTTTAAAAACTATTACATTCACAAATATCTCTAATATATAAATAAAATTACACATAAATTAACCTGTACAATACAGCTGACATTCTTCGGGCTTCCTAAAAAGTACTGCCGCTGTCGCACCACCCTCTATTTTAACGTTTTTCAAAATTGAGCCTTGTCCTGAAATAATTGATCATCCAACAGTAATAAACTGCACTGAGACACTTTCTAAACGGAAAATTTTTAACCAATTTTAAAAATATCCTTTCTTGGTAAAAATCTTGGTAGAATCAAGTCTCAATACTCCACTACAGCACCCAGTTGTGATTTGAAACGCAACTTACCTATGCTGTCTTATTTCAAGTTATTTTCAATAAAAATGAAAAATGCTACCTGAGTGAGTATTCGCCTTTAAACCACTAATTGTCTCATAATTGATTTCGGAGTTGGACACTGCTGATTTCAAATAACATCGCTTTCTTGTTTTGCTGTATGTATAACCAAGACAGCAATGATCCCGAGCACATGCTATGCAACATCGCTAAAATCATTTCTATTGCTTATTGTCAAAAAAAAAGAAAAAATAAGTGATGTTTTCACTAATAAAAGTTTGACTTTTCTTTCAGTAATAAAAGTGTGATGCTTTTCTTATAGCTTCAAGTAGTCAAAACACTGCAAATATTCGAAACGACTTAGACAAATTGCACAATATTGAAGAAATTCGCAGATGTTCTTTCTTTGTTCAAAAGATTGTTGAACGTCTCTATCAGACGAGTACTAATTTTATCTCTTGCTACTCAACGAGTTTCTGTTTTTTAGGTAAACATGTGAAAAGCATAGACAAATTGAATTTAACGTTTTTTCCAGTATTTGATGGAAGAGACAGTATCACCTTAATATCATTTGCATTAAATTCATCGTAAGTACCACCAATCAGTGCAATATTTGGAAGATAAAAGCATCGAGACGCTAAAATTTAGATTAACGAACAAACTGTAGACTTTGTTTTATGTTCATTTCACTTTCATCTATAACTGATGCAAAAATAAACCTGAAACCAAGTATTGCATATATGCATTTTGATGGTTCCAAATATTTCTAGGGAAATCTCGATTTAAGTCCCTATTCTTCCCTACTTATTAATTTGTTCGCCTCTCATTATCATTTGCCATTAGAATAATAATTAAAAAAAAAAAATAGGGGAGGAATTAAGACTTGATATGTTTTAAAGTGTGGAACTGTAGGTGATCCAAGAATATTTAATATCACTTTGGTAAAGTATCAAATTGGCCCTCTGAGATGTTATTTCATAAATAATCCAAATTACAACACTGCTTCAAAAACATGTTCTATAAACCTAAGAAGAGAAATGGAAGGAACTGGCAACATAAAATGAACTCAATTAATTGTCTTTAGCGACTCTTTTCTTGCCAGATATTAATGCTTACTGTACCATATTTGGTAGCAAGTAGATATTAGCTTATCATATCTTCAGGCGTTGAAAGTTTCATTTCTCAAAAAAACATAATTTAATTAGGAAGTTGAATGAAGATAGAAATATATATATATATATATAAAGACAGACAGAGAGAGAGAGAGAGAGAGAGAAAGAGAAAGATAAGCAGAAGAAAATTAGATCAGAGCTGCTATCACTATGCCACACGGTATCGTCTGACCTATTTCTTGAGATACTCCGCAGCTTCTTGACTATTTCTGACTCTCTTCGGAACGAGTTTCCGTGCTTCGGAACAGTACGAATAAATGATCTTGATGAGTAAACATGAACAGTATGATCAATGATTAAGGGAAGTTGCATATTGGAAGCTGAAAAAGTGCTCCATCAAGTGCCATTTGTCATTTTATAAAAAGGACAGCAATGTTAGTGGGTATCCAGGAGATGATTTCAAAGGCGCTAGCTAAAAATATTTCAATTCTTATCTTTTAGCAATCATCGTTATTCCCTTTCAAGCGAGTGAATACTAAGAACAATATCATGATAAAATGGCTCATTTACAGTTTCTAGACTGCCCAGTTCCGTCATTAACCTTTCTATAGTAGGACAAATGACGACAATAAAACTTCACACATTTAAAGGTTGATGATCAATTGAACATAAATTCGAATTGATCTATCATCCAGGAGATGATTTAAAAAGAATTTATGCTAGTCTGTGCTAAAATATAAAGATACTGGAATTTTGTGCTAGTTTATGCTAATTTGTAACGTTATGAATAATACTTTTTACTAGCCATCAACTTTTTTTCATTATCGAGCATGAAAGTGCCTATATCTATGAACTGATTAACTTATACTAAAGTTGTGATCTTATAAGGTTGTCACATATGATGAAATAAGAAATTACACACACAGCAAAATTATAACTTACTTACTGACTGTGTTGTACGGACAAACAAACCGATGATCAATGCTTTCAGGAACATCCCGACAAACAATTAGGTTCAAATTCTCAGTCCTGGATTATTTACCCTGATAGCCAGAATGCAAGACAAATCCTGTAAAGTATTTTACAAAACAATTCAACTCTACTGAGTTAATTAATTTACAGCACTCGGACAAATGCAGATGTCAACCTAAAATTAATAAACACAAATGGTCGATTTGCATATATACTTGTGTAAAATGATTGTTATCTTTAGTTAGAATCCAAAAATGCAGTGTATATAAAACAATTACAAAAAGAAGAGCGTTTTGAAGAGGAATAATTTTAAAAAATATGAAATTAAACTTAAAAAGACAGATTGTCATGACATAAGCAAATGCTATTTAAATATATAAATCACATAATGGAAGCTAATAAATCTTATTTGTCGACCGGAATGAGTTAGAATAATCTAATTGCTTGTCAATAAGAATGAGTTATATGCAATACATAACATTTCCTTGTGTTTGTAAATGCAAGCTTATGAATATGCGTGTGTGTGTATGTGCATGTGTGTTTGTACTTCTTTTCTCGAGACATTATACAGCGATCTCAAGAATACAGTGGACATTCGACCACTCCTTACTATGATAAATAAAACTTCGGCGAGAACACAATTCAGTCATTGCTTTATCATTTTCTATCATTTCCGTGCCACTTTCCTTAACATCCATCATTCCAAAACCATCCATAACAATCCCAGGATTACAGATTGATACTATTTTACCACCTTTTATATTTTTGACTTCTTTAATTTCATCATAAATCAACACTGAAAAAAGAAGACGAGATTTGGAAAATTCTTCAAAAGCTGTTATTGCAACTGATCTAATCAAATATCTCTTTTCTAAACGATCCTCTTCTCTTAAACTAATTCTTGATATCTATTTTTAACTCATTCAACTATACAATGAAAACAAGGATTGTTCACCATCTATTTTTTGTGCCATTCCTAAAATTCTAATCATTCCGGAAACGATTCATTCATTTGTTCTTGAATTACAGAGAATAAATTTTAGTGTATCGAAGTGTTTAATCAAGCAAAATAACAAATAGACGAAATAACCCATCCGTCTACAATAAGCAGTAACAAGTCACAAATAGGGCTCACTATTTTATAGAACTTCAAAAAATTCTATTATCCAGTTCTCGTAATGGTTTCATTTTTCTCGGTGTAATGAGTAGTTTGTCTTGGGTGGGAATGTAGCAGTGTATACATCAATTAAATAGTCCTGGAGCATGGACATTTTAAAAAAGAATGAATTGAAGAAACTTATAGGAAGATTAATTACACCAAAATTTAAGGTCTTCAAAATAAAAAGTAAACAAATCCGCAAATGTTCGTAACAATAATTGCAACAGCATAACTTTATCGGAAAACATAAAACTAAGAGATTTTGTTTTTAGAGGATAAGCTTTGATCATAAGTATTAGTTTTTGCAAAAAAAAAAAAAAAAAAAAAAAGTAAAATAAAAAAAATAGCAATTGATTTACAAGATTTCGCCAAAACAGTTGTGGTTTTCCTTAACTTAAGATCGTAACTATCTTCTTGCAAGATTACACTTTTAGCTTTTATTGGATAAAATTTGGCATTAACTACTGTATTCATTTAAGTCGAGTGAAGAATTAGGCAGTCATAAAAGATGACTTTCCAGTAGAGTAAGAACGTGAGTCAAGAATTTCTTAGTGCTTTTTCAGTCTGATTTTGAATCTTCACGAATTTGAGAGCTAATTTTTCATTTTGTGATGCTTATGTCTACTAAATCTGTTGATTATTTTATTTTAGATTGTAACTGAGCACACAAAAAGCATTTTTAACAAAATGGAAAACGGGAAAAGAATAAAAAAAGCCTTACAAAGACTTGGAACATACTGAGGTTGCTAGGGTAACAAGAGTGCCCTATCTAGCAATGCTTGTGCATTCTGTGTAGTTAAAAGAGCTGTGATAGCTTGCGGTGTGGTGTAACACTAACTATTATGATTTCATATATATATAGTTCGAGCTTGTTTAATAATTATAAGAGAACAAAAGAGCAAATCCTAAGTCAGTTCTGTTTGAAAATTGGAGGTTGTCATTGTCGTCATAGCTACATATGTATGCATTTGAATTTTAAAGAATCCAAGTGTTGATTTCTAGTTTTACTGATTTTCAGTGAAATCGTATCGCTGATTTTATAATTTGCCGCCCAAGTGTTAAATCGGTCGTCGACATTAAGTGATGTTGAATCACCACAGTAAGCAATGTGACACTAGGTATGAAAAGAAGATAAGTATGGAAAGTTATATCTCAATGGAAATGTACATTCGTCTTTCATACAATTAGATTAAGAAATGGAACCTGTAAATTAACAGATGAGTTAATTAATTAACATTTCAGCGTTACATCGCAGCGCTTGGGGGACTATTACGGTCGAGTAAGCAGAGCTGAAGAAAATCAAAAAAATTGCGATGAACAAGTAAGCAAAAGTGCTACAATGGCAGTGGTTCTGAGCCAACCAGTGTACGATGTATTCGTTCAGCATGATAGTTTGTTATTTATTTATTCGTTTACTGGTGCTCTAAATTCTCGATTTAAATTGATCGATACGCTGATAATAATATTTCGGCAAATTTATTCTTTCCAGGAAGTTTCCGTCGAACGGATCGAAAACAATATGAAAAGATGTTAGAAGCGCGAACAGATGATTTGCTGACTGTTACTCCATCAGAGAGTATTCAGGCTGCACTGACAATTCAGACTGCCTTCCATAATATAACACTCATCATGCAAGGTAAATATAATGTTTAATTATATTCAGGTCTTTTTGAATTAAACTTTTATTATTTTAAACCAATTCCCAAACACAATTAAAGCATTTTAAGCCAAGTCTTAAGCTTGTTTCATTTTACCGCCACGAATTTTTTACTTTCAGGATTTTTGTCTGGATTCGGCACTTCACATGCTATTTTTGCTTTTGCTTTTGCCGATATTGTAAATTTTCATTATGAATTTGTTTCTCTCCCTCTATGGTGCCATTTAATCCTTTAACTTCTTAGCAATGTATTTTTAATTAGAAAATGTTATATGGATTGAATTAAGTGCATAATTATTTAATTAACCAAATTTTTGTCATTGTTTTCTCAGGATATACTTTATAAAAGTTACGCATGGTTAGCGATGGCAGTCCAAGCTACCTTCTACGCATGCTTTGTGATTAGCACTATTGCAGCGCTTGACAGGTATTTCATCATTTTGTCTTGTAATCCTCAATTGTTTGTTTATTCAGCAAAATCAGTTCGTATTCCTAACAACATCACCAACCTACTTTTGGAAAAGAGATACCTTATTTTTAGGCTTGAAATTAGTTCTGGTTTAATAGATGGCTTGAAACGTGGGTTGAGCTTCCAGAGTGGTGGTTTAGACATATTGTTATGTTTAATTGGTACAGTAGCTACACTGATATCAACGTTATATGACGACTGGTTTGCAGCGCCAATAAAGGAACAAGAAAGAATTCAGGTTTGCGTCTGCAGTTCTTGCAGTTTCTTTTTCTTTCATCCTTCAGAATTTTGGTGCTGTTAATGAAATGCTAGAAATTTTCTTTAACTTTTAAAATGAAAAAGATTCGCAGTCTAAATATATATAATTTCTTATTACGAAAGATTTGATTGATTCACAATAGTAAGTTAATTAACACTGCAGGATATTGTGGTGATGGACCCATTGGTTACTTGGCGTTTATTAAGCAGTATCCGTGCATTAGCTGGATTATTAAACTGGCTTTTTCTGGCTCTTTCACCAAACAGCAATATCTTATTAAGGCAACTTCGTAATCCGGTTTGGCAACCCAACATTTCCGATTTTTTTTTAAAAATTTAAGAAGTCAACAGATAGAAATATATTTGAAGAACAGTTTAAAACTTTTCACTATCACCTCGAAAACATTTTCGTAAAAGTAGTCTCATAATTTTAAAATTAATTTTATTCGTTTTCAGGAATCAATTAATGAGAACTGCGAAATGCCGTAAAATGGACGAAATGCTTGGGAGATAACTGAAGTAATTCATGAACCTATTTTGGATTACAGACGGCGGTCAGATAGAAACCATCAAACCTAAGCAAAAAATTTGCTACATTACTTCACTTTAGCGAAATTGTAAGATTCACGAATACGCTGAAGTAATTTCCAAATAAAAGTAGACCTCATATTTTTTTTGTAAACTGAATGGAAAAGAAATCAAATTTTGATTAGCATTACTCAAAACACTATGTATTTCTATTTTCGCTGTACCCTCAATGTTAATTACTTCTTTATTTCATACTTTTCGACGAAAATTCTTATTCTTTCTTCTTAAAATTGTTTAATTTAAACAAGCTGAAAGATCAATCATCTCTATCAATACAAAACATACAGTAATTAACCGACAATTTCTTGCGGTTCTCTATCACCATAGCCACTAAGTCAGTCAATTAATTGGGTTCTAACCAACCAATAAAGTGAAATTCCACGTTGACTACATTAAATTGTAAACAGCAACTTCATTTTTTACCAGTCGAAAGAGGAAATTGAGATTAATAGAAACTCTTCATGTTCTTGCTGTCAAATTTTTTAAAAACTTTGAATAGGTTTTCAAATCAAGTATTCCAAGAAATTAGAATGCCTATGATTTGAATCATCGTCACACAAAATTCATTAAAGTTTTACTGAAAAACCATTAAAATTGGATTCCATTATTTCTCTGGTTTCATGCTCCATCCTCTTTTTTCTATTTCACTTCTCATCCTTTCTCAGTCAGAATTTGGTGCTTTTCTTCCATCTTCATTTTGGTTATCGATAGAAAAAAAAATGCCAATTTTTTGAGAAGAAAATTATAGTTTACATCTGCATTTTTTTTTGGGAGGGGAAAGGCAGTTATGAGAGATAAAATGATTCTCTTTTCAATTCACGTTTCTGTTATTTTCACCAATTTCCGCAGGATTTTCACTAACAATTTCTTCTTACATCCATAATTGTTATGGTATTTTTTGTACTAATAATTTCGCTTTGCAAGATTAAAATGAAATTGCTTTCACTGTTTGTTATGTTCGGTACTGCTAATCATGACAGGAAATACAATCATTTATGGAATTCGAGTCTGTTTCCTCTTTTTAAAATGACAAATTTGAGTTATCCATCATTTCTACATCTTGTGTTAATGAAATGAAAATAAAGTATATTATTTCCTTTTCATGATCTTTAATGAAAATTTTGTACAGAAAAACAAATCGGGTCATTTCATGGTTAGCAATTTTAATATGACATTTAAATAAGGATGCTAAATTCAGCTAATTCATTTATTTACAATTCTAGCAATATATTTTTATTGCAAAAAATTGGCTGCTTTTATCTAACAAAAAGTTCTGGTAAGAGTGCAGCAAGTAAACAAGTGGAAACTGTTGATTTAACCACATCACTTTTAGTGTTTAATAACAGTTCGCATATAATACATCAGTGCGATAATCAAGTTTATTGTGTATAAGAATTAAAAAGCTAGGTTCAATCAAATTATAGAAAAAGGAAAATTTGAAATGATTCCTTCATCAGTAAGCGAGTTGTATTCAAACTTTTAACTTGTTTTTTTCATATCAACTGATTTAATTGGAACAATCATTGATATCAGTAGAGTAACATATCAACATAACGGAACTGATAATCACTCCACAGACACCATGGTGGATAGCTGATAAATATTACAACTTCTTATGTGATTTAACTACGAATGTAATAATTTGATAGACGAAGTTCCTAACTTCATTGATGAAGAATATTCATGATTTACCAACTGTTTAGATCAAACTTCGTTTTCGCTCTTTCCCTGTTTTTATGCTTTTCTTGGTGGTGTGATGACATTTCGCTCTGTTGTTGTCGAAGATTAATACTAGCTTTTCTAATTTGCCTAATTGAAAACAAAAACTAATTTTATCTAGTTATATAGAAATAATTACTTTCAGTTTACGTATTTATTTCCTTTATTTTTATCAGTTCTAAATTATTTGGACTTTCATATAGTAAAAACCCGCGTAAGCATACATCCTTGCACACGTCGCAACTTCTGTTGTGAGACTTGGGGCTTCTTACTCTTGTAACTTAGAGTTGAATTGAAGTTTTGCCTTCCTTATTTGTTATTGTAGTTGGTATAGACGAATGCGTTGAATGATAGGTCTGTTGTAACGATTTTATTTGTTAACAACCACAATGTATAGATATTAATCTATAGCAACAGTGCACTGATAATTTCGTAGAGTTCAACGAATAAGATGAAGGAGATGAATAAGTCGATGAGGAACATCGAAAAATTAAATGAACTATGAGTGAGGAAGAATAGCCGAACCATAACTTGCTGGTACAAAAAATTCAATAAGACAAAGGACTTCAATCATTGTATAGTAGGCACTGATTTGTAAAAGACACATGATTACACTGAATAAAGAGCTATAAAATGATTTTTACTCTTTATATAGTAAGAGATGGGTTTTAGTATTGTCAGTTGCTCATAAGAATGATTATTAGATTAGGAAACTTTTACAATATCTCGACATTACAAGCAAATTTGGCTTGGAACAAAGGAGTAATTTTTAACATATCAAGCAATACACATACCCTTTGCTAACAGTTGAAAATTTCTAGACAAACAGAAGAAGCTTAACTACAATGAGGAGAGTTTGGAATAATGATTGCTTAGATGAGATGCAGTTTGGAACAGTTTTATATTTCTTTAAAGAATGTTCAATTAGGAAAAATTTTTAGTATTATGAGTTAATTCAATTTTATTTAATATCTTTTGTAAGTTATTTCGAGGTTAGCGAGACTTATTTCGGGTTTCACGACTTTTACACAGCTGATGGATGCGCTTTTACAAAATATATGGCTGAAATTATGAAATCAAACAGCTTTTTTCTATTCATTATCTAATGTTTTGAACATCGAGTAAGCTATTGGTTTTAACAGGTTTTATTTTTTATTTCTGATATAGTTATTTGTCTAATGATTCAAAAATTTACATATAATATGACTGTTAGAATACTTTAAACAAAAAAACTAGAAAATAAAAGTGCTATTTCCAGTGATATGAAAAAAGTAGAAATTTCAGCCGGAAACTTCGGGATCCTTTTTTCATCATCAACTGTTAGTATATAAATTAATATTACGAGTGATAAAATGTTCTTAAAAAGATAATTATCTCATACGTATGAAAATTTCTGCATACAATTGTTCATCATTCATAACTTTGTATTTAAACACTTTCCAATACTTCATATTCATTGCCAACTTAACAAAAGTTTTTTCCCACCTTTCAAAATGGATGAAACCAATACAATTTGAAGAAAGAAAATATGAAGAATGAGAAACCATGCACTTTTTAAGATATGGAAGCTTAAAGTTAGGCACTATACAAATAAATGTTTTTCCATGGGTATTGGCACTTTTTGAGTTGGATCAGTATAATTTTTATAGTCACCTTTATAACATTTGGGATGATAAAATATAAAGAAAATAGAATGGAAATTTACATCAATTTTTCCAAGCCATAATGCTATGGTTGGCTCTTGTCGATAATGTTTTACTATCGCAGCACTTCACATCAAATAAGCCTAATTTTCGCAGGACTCTCAATCACAGCATTTGCCTTATAATGAAATTCAGCATTGAGAGCCATTGCATCTAAAATTTTTCTATGTCTTTTGCTTAAAGAAAAATATTAATTGTGTAGCAGAGTCGTTTACGAATAGTCAGCATTAATGAGGAAGATATTGCTAAACATCACTTTGAATTAAGCTCATATGGTCGTCACTTAAGTGTTACTATGTTAAGAAATTCTTGACAAGCGAGCTGGATAGCAATTTCGTATTTAACTAATTATCAAATCGCAAATTTACAATGAACAGATAATTATTGAAGACAATGTCACTTAAATGATATCTTCAATGAAGGTTTGAAATCTTAACCGTTCGTTTCATTTTCTTCCGAATGATTCTTATAAGAAAATGTCAAATAATAGTAGTAAAAAATATTACAGGAAATGTGATAATTTCAGAATTTATTGGAAACTTTTCCAAAGATTTGCAATTAACCTTTTGTCATTAGAAGTCGAAAATTTTTTAAATTTCATTTTTTACTGATAAACTTATTTCTTTATAGTCCTTTTTTCTACTTCAACTCAAGTAGGAAAGCTAAAACTGCGTTCTGTTACCATATGGTAGCCAGAAAAAGTTTCCTCTATTCAAACCTTTGGAAAAAATTTGCTGGGGTTGAAATCTTTATAAAATCCAATTAGGTATTTTAAAAGTATTTGATGTGAGGTTAACAAAATAGAACGTCAGCAACACGGTTATTAAAAATTTCATTGCAATATTGAAACAAAGTTGATATCATATTTTTTATTTAATTTTTCCATCACTCACTTCATAGCGGAATATATTGACTTGCTTTGAGATACTTAAAAGTTCTGAAATTATCTTTGGAACAAAAAAAAACATAATTCTGGAACTTTTGATGAGTTGCAAATTAAAAAATCAAAAAAAAAAAAAAAAAGGAAAAGACTTTTGATTGAGAACTAAAATTCAGCCCTAACGGGCTCACAATTCATTTCATTACGCCGCATTTTGTAAAAAAAGTTATGATTTCAAAAAAATCAACTATTTCTAGTAATCCGAAACTTTAATTTATGTTTTTTATAAGGAAGAGCTAAGATAATTCGATATCTATGCTGGCCGTTGTTGTATGTTTGTGAAAAAAGCGATTTTCAAACTATAGCGACAGTAGACTATAGTAATAACTAAGGCTATTATTTCGTTAGTAAACTAATTCCTTTTTTTTTTTTTTTTTTTGTTTATATTATATTTGAAATTATTTCATGATTCCTAATCAAAATGTTTTTCGAAGCAATACACTTAATCGTCTCTTGAAAATGACCAGTCATAGCAAAACTTATTCTCAAAAAAATTATTGTTATATAACTTATTGTCAAAAAATTCTATCTTAAATTCATTCTATGGTTTGCCCATTGTTAACACCAATTTAAATGTTGTGCGCAATTTTCGTCCCTCTCTGGTGAGAATAATAGAGAAACTTCTGTGTGCTCATAGAATGATTGATGAGAAATAAGAATGCTTTAAGTGCAGTCTTTTCCTTAATCTTTTTCGAAAAAAGCCAAAGAAAAATGATTTTGGAAAAATTTATTTATGAAATTAATTGAATTTCTCCCCTTTAAGTAAAATCCTTTGCTTACCAAAAACTTTTACTTTGTTCTTTCAATCGCACTTCATTAGCAATAGGATATTAAGCAAAAAACAAAATCTGAGTAAAACGCTAATCAGTGTAACGTAATGCAGGAAACGAACGGAGCCTATACTTTTCAAATGAGTGACTGAAACTTATAAATCAAAGTCTTCACTTTATTTGACAGCAATAAGGTCACGTTTCATTTACTAATCACGAATGTTGTATATGGCTTACATGAAACTGTCATAGAAGTGAGGCACGCGAAGGGTTGCAGTCTAAACTTGGACAACCTGGATGAATTCGGATATAAGCATGCATTATCAAATAATGTTAAGCAACTTTTCAGATTACTTGTGGCCGAAATTCTTTATTAATGAGCATGTTGTAGTTGTCCAACCACAAACCAATTTCTATTTTTAGAATTCTATCAATTTCATTAGCTTTAGAGGAATAAGATTTGCCGATTCATTCCTTGACTTTCAAATTGTATTTTTCCAGAAACTTTCTGGAATTCTATCAATTCGAAATGCGCATTATTTAATTTAATGAATCTGTAATAATTAATAATTAAGGAAAAAGTTATAATAGGCTCTCTGAAAATTAAGGCTGTCAATGATGTAACTGAAATACTCCAGATTTTTTAGTTTCCATTTCCATTCAAAATGTTTTGATTGTGCATAGAATCAGAAATTCCGATGTAAAAACTGTTTATGAAAATCAATGCTTCACATTGTAATGGGCACCGGTTTTACTTCTACATAATTTTACAGTGATCCCAAATTGGTTGTATCAGTACCACATTTTCTCATTAAATTTAAGTGGGATACTTCTTGATTATATCTAATTAAAGTTACTGACAAGCTACCCACTATTGCAGGAATACAAAACTTATTGATACTTGCTCTTTTTTTAAATTATTTTTTTTATGAGTAAAATTAACAGATTACCTTACTAGGACTGATAAAAAATGAACATATATATATATATATATATAACTACCGGAATGTCATATGTCTTTAACAGGAAACCATACTGATGTTATCACACGCCAATTCATTTATCGAAATAATGAACTAGTAATGAATTATTGGATTCTGCAGTCAGTTAACTGAAGCTTATCATTTTCTTGTTTACTTTCCACTAAATCTTCCACATCTTTCCCATTTCTCCATATGTACTTTTGTTTCATTTTTTTTTTTTTTTTTTTTTGCAAAGACTTGATAGATTTTGCTTCGTTTGCTCACAAGAATTACAACTACAGCTTAGGAGGACACAATGTTCCACAAAAATATATGACAAATTCATTTTCAGATAATTAAGGATTGTGCTATTCCACTGCATTCTTGAGAAATTTTGACTTTTCATAAAACTTAAAATTAGCTTAACGTAAATTAGAAAAGGCAAGTTATCTTTGAGCAATATTAGGCTTCAATCCCCATGTTAACCTCGTTTTAAAAAATTTACATTGTAGAATGCAGTTAAACTAAGAATAACTAATTTTTTATTTCGTCTTTAATTTCTGTTTTTTTTTTTTTTTTTTTTTTTTAATTCTGGTAAACATAGCTATCAATATGGAGAGTTTTTCCAAAATTTTAATATGACTTAAACCTAAATTATAGCTTTCTAACCTTTTTTTTAAGTGATGCATTCTTTGTTAGGCGCTTTATTTTAGCAGTATAGACACATGACAAAATAAAGTGGAAATTAAAATCGACTTTTTAAATATACCGGTAGTGAAATTCATAAGAGGAATGCTCTACATACACATCTACGCAGGACTAACTTGAAAATTAAAGGAAATTATTTGAGCAATTATAGGCTGTTAATGATAAATAACATTTTTTATATTCAATAATGTGACTTCAATTGCAAGTAAAAGCTATTGCCGCTTATAATAACAAAATGTTTCAAGAAATTTTCTAAAAATTTTTTTAATATCTAATTCTTCCTAGATTAGATATATTATTCAAAAATCTAACTCCTGACTATGATTGCATTCTCGTCAATAAAATGTTTTTGCTTTTCCTTCTACCATAGGGGGTCGGTTAACTCTGGATGAAGTAGTTACTAATTAAGGAAAAAACTGCGATAAATCAATAAATCGTCAGGATAATCCAGTGCACATTCCAAGTATATTATCAATTCTTCTGTTAATTTGTTTAAATGGGATGTCGAATTTTACAACTAGCATTCATTGCTATTTTCTGACTTAATATCATTCCTAGGTAATATTTCTCAACAGTTTCCAAATTACACCCAATGATGCACATTTTACAACCCCTCATATTTCCACACCATCTCAGAGGAAAATGAATGAATGTCATTAAACGTTCAAGATGTTAACCTTCCATCTCTAATATAAGAAGTACCAAAATTCCTAACTAGACTAGGTAAATATTAGAACTGAAATTGTTAGGATTAAGAATATTTAGATGATGTAGACAGAATGAGGAAGAAAAACCCTAGCACTTCAGTTATGCCGAACAGAAGATCTAGACTGGATGGCATTAGCACTGATGATAATACGAATCTTCCACTCTGAAATTATAGGGACCTGCTGAACCAAATTTTTGGTAGATCTTAAATTATTCATATTCTGTCACTACTCATCTTTATAAGATTGAATCTCTAAGCAAAACTGAATGACCACAAACACTGAAATTACAATTATGTGAAATGAAGCTGAAAAAAGTAGTAACCAATCTTTTTTTCATTCATAGAAATTAAGCTCTTTAAATTGAGACTAGTAATTTGAATATCTTGTTCAAAATTTATCACTTCTCCCTTATCTCCAATGAATAGTCATACTTATAAAGTTTCACGAATTTTGACACTCTTTGTTATAATAAAAGACGAAATTTGAGAATTTGAACTAAAGCTGCGCATTAGTTCAAGCTCATAAATTTCATATTCTCAAGCATGCATGTTTAAGTGGAAGAGCGACTCAAAAAGTGCTGATGAGTCTGACCAGACGTTTTGGAAAGAAATACAAAACTGTTGATGGTTAGATTTTATGAACAACGTGTTATAAGTTTAAGCGTTCCTAAGATCTTTAAAATTTTTCTAAATGTAGCTTACAGAATGATAGGAGAAAATTTTAGTTTAAGATTTTTTTTTTTATGGTGCTAATTTTTTTTCTTAAAGGATTTCTTTACCACTCGATTTGATGTATATAAAACATGATTAGCGACAATTTATTGCTACGGTTTGTAATGCCACATCGAAAGAGTGGTTGCTAATTTCTCTAAATGAACTAACAGCTTATAATTTAAGCATTTCAAACGGTGAAAAATATATCATTTCTCTCACAGTGACAATATAAAACTTATGGAAAAATTAATTTGCTGTGTAAAAAGAAGAGGTGAAAATTTTTTTTGAACTACAAACTAATTTTTTTAGAGAAATGAATAACCGAGCTTAATTTTCATAACTGATTTTGCAGTTTTATTGTAATCAAATTAGATAAATTACTGCTAATGTAATTAATATTTTCCCCTTATATAAATGAAATCACAGATAAATAAACGTAACAAGGAAAGTTTGTCCGTTTGCTGAATTTTTTTTTTTTTTTTTGTTCCATTATTTCCCAAATACCATAATATTTTTTACTTAATAATGGAAGAGAATTAATTCATTCCAGAATAACGAGCAATGAATGAAGTAGGAGACTACTTGGTACCAGAGTCAGATGCAGTATTTCCTACCGATTGTTCACAATCAAACGAAACATTTGAACAGCTTCAATTACTTTATTCTCAACACATCATTGCATGGCCAAATTTTTCAGAATGTTTACCACACTGTGAAATGTGCCAAATATTTGCTTCTGATTCAACTTACATTGTCTATAATCTGGTGCTCATTGGTTTCATTCTTCCTCTGATCGGTTTCTGCGGTCTGCTTGGTAATGGAATAAGTGCTTTCATTTATTGTAGACCAGGTATTATTGTTCGATTAAATAATTGATTATTGTAGAGCAGTACATATATGGTATAATTTCCTTAAACAAAACTAACCAGAATGCAAGTTGAATATGAAGCAATAGAAATAAGTTATGAATGAGTAACCAGCTACAGAGAAGGAAATGGTCTTTTCCTCTGATTTGGAAACTTTTTGTTACAACTTGTTATGAAATTTGAGATCATTATAGCTTGGAATCTACTTGAAATTAAATGTTCAACTAATTTTTCTTACTTCATTTAGCTATTTAAGGCAAATATTTCAGAAATGCGTTCATCAACTAATTTGTACCTATGTGCACTTGGATGTAGCGACTGCGCGGTAATATGTACAGCAATATTTTTATTTTGTTTTGACATTATCAGGCGCTACTCGTTGCATATATCTTTAATGTTTGGAGCATTTTCACCGATTGTTTATCCAGCCGGTATGACTGCTCAAACATGTTCTGTTTATTTCACACTAGTGGCCGCTGCTGATTGCTTCATTCAAGTAAGAATTTTAATAATTTCCTGACAAGTGTTTCCAATCAGATTCATTTACAACTTTAGTTTCAAAGCTGATTTTCACCTGGGCTAGGAGTACAGATTTTAAAAATATAAAGATTGCATAATATACTTGTTATATATATCCTCAATGTCTAGAGCACTTTCAAAAAAATTTAATAAATATCTTTATATTCTCTTCTTTGTACCAAATTGCTTTCTTTTTGCAAAGAAGAGTCACAATGCGTTTACCTTCTGCTACAGTGTTGCTTCTCTTACCCTGCTTTTTCTTGACCTCATCTCTTCACCCTTTTTTCCCCATCTCAACATCCCCTCTCGATACCTCAGAGTAATTCATAAATGAAGTGGTTTGCACAAGTTTGTATTTCCTGGGCTCTCACCTCTGGAATAAAGATCCTGTGTAAGCCTTGCCAGTTCTCCTGTTAAATCTAGTATGGAACAAATTTTTTAATTAACATGTTGCTTGATTTATCATCCTCGAGTATTTTGCAGGTGTGTTTGACGGATAGTTGTCGAAAACTTGTCTCTAGGGAGTTTTTCGTCAAATGTGTGGTGCTATTTATTGTAGTGTTCAGTATTTTATACAATGTGCCGCATTGTCTCGAAACAGTTGTTTTGGAGTGTTGGCACACGCATTTCGAAAGTCGTTCACTTGAAGTTTGCCCCGATCCATTCAGGTTTCTACCGAGGTAACAATTATCAAAATTTTCATTTTTACAATGACAAATATCAACATCTACTCCATCTCATACTTGGCTTTCAAACATTGCGATAATCCTTACTTGAATATCCAGAAAGTTGCATCTTTAAAGATGCTTATTGAATGGTCGATAAAATTGACCCTATTAATTTGTTGTCTTCTAATTTCTCCACAATTTAATTAGGTTAAGCTATTTTATTACTATTCAAACATCTCAAATATACCTTCCCCATTCCTAAAGTTCAAGGGAAAACATTTTATTTTCTACTAATGTGTGAAAATGTGAAATAACTGTGAAATACTAATTTTGTCCAATTTCATTGATGCAAATTTTGGATGCAAATTTTCAGTTATAAGCTCATTTATTACAAATATATGTATTCGATATTTCTTGCCGTAGGTCCTCTCGTTGTATTAGTAGTTCTAACTGTATGCATTATTGGCGTAACTGTTACTGTCAAGAAGGCTGACGGCAGTTCTGGCGATACCATTGCTTTGGTTAGTTTTATCAGTGTTACCTTTACAAAGATTACCAGTTAGTACAAACTGATTTAGTATAGCTGTACTAAAATTTCACACAGATTTATATGAAAAATCCACTCTTCCAAATCTAGAGTACTGAAAAAAATTGTTGAGTAATAATTTTCAAAATCACGAACTTGAAATCAAGAAAGCAAAACTATTCCATGATTACAATTAATATGTTGATAATTAGGCTCTAGAACAACCAGGAGTTGTTTTCTAAAACCATAACTTCAATTACAGATATTAGTGGTACTATTATTCATTGCTTGCAATGTAGCAGCACTCCTATTAAATGTTTTTGAAGTTTATCTTGGTGAATTACTGGGACCTTATATCAACTACGTTGTGGATGCATCCAATGTCTTAGTCGTCTTTAATTCGTCATGCAACTTTGTCATTTATGTGAAATTTTCATTAGCATTCCGTCGTACTCTTCGACGACATATTTTCAAAACAAATACAAAAAGAACAATTCAAACGAACTCTAAAACAACCGCAAAAACAATAATGACAATAGGCAGTAAATACGGCAACAGTAGCAAAAGCAATAACGGTAGTGGTAGTAGTAATAATGGTAGTAATAGTAATATTAGTAATAGTAGTGGTAGTAATAATACTAGCAGCAAAATGAATTTAACAACAGTCGTTATCGCAAATGAAAATTCGACTGATTATCATCATCACGGACATTATCAGCATCCTAGTTATGATTGTCGAAGAAACCAGTATCCTGAACATGTTGAGCAACTATCCAGAAAAGAAACCATCAGTCGTGTTCCAAAAACAGCCCAACTAGAAACACTCATATAGACAATTCCGTTATTGTGGTTTCTTTTAGTTTGAATAGTTTCCTACTTTTATGATGGTATTTTTTCCTTGCTTTATCATTACCGAAATATATCTCCTCACCTGAATTCAATATTTTTGTAACAGTTTTCATATCTTGTTTCATTGAAATACAATCTATTTCAATAGAGAAGTGTAAGATTTCATGCACGACAAATTGGCAAATTATGCAGATATATGAAGTTCCAAAACCAAATCAGCTTAGACTGAGGACAAGGTTCAGAAATGTTCAAAGCTGAGCTAAGAGACTTTTGTCGTGGAATGTATTGACTGCCAGATATTTTATTTGCCTCGAACCTGGGTAATTAAATCAAACAAATTAAGATTATATCAACGCGCAACGCATAACTTTATAGAGGATATAACACAATTATAAAACACTAAAATGCGTCCAAAAACCACCCAAGAATATACAATTAATAATGGTTAATGAGGAAAGTTGGTTAACTTTATATACAGAACTAAATTGACAACCGGCGAAAAACGTTCCCATGAATGTAAAATAAAGATGTGGAACAAAAGAGGATTTAGAAAACATTTCCATGATGTAAAACAAGGACTGGTAATTTAAGTGTTTCGTTTTTTACAACATTGCTTTGCACATAAATAAATTGAACAGTTCAGACAGAACTAAGACAAAAAGGCAGTTATTTATCTCATTAAAATCACATAACTACATTCAGCATAGCGAGTCAGAATATAGGGAAGAAGTAATATGCAATGTGCACATAAACCTCACTGCAATTTATCAAAATTTTCTTGCTATGCTTCTCGCTTCACGATCTCATCGAAAGGAGTATCATTTTGCATGATCATATATTGATTTAATGAAAGAGAAAAAAACATTCATCGAGTAAATCAGGAAGACTTATTGATTAACTTTAAGCGCTGTCGAAATGCATACTTACCCATGCAGAATGCTATATACTTTAAGCATTGTCTTCCTTAGATCACACAAAACAAGTAGGATGGAAGCGTAGTTTATAAATTCCGACCGAAGACAACAGCAGACTTTGGGTTTTTGCAACCGCCACCTACTGCAATATCAATTTCAAAAAAAATAATGGTGTCTTACGAACGATAGCTTATTACACAACAAATTAATTGAACAAAACAACTACCACACCAATCTGATTTAACCCAATTGAAAGTAACATTAAGTAGACATCCTAGTTATGTTCCATTGCAACTTCTAGAAAAGAATTATTTGAATCCATGCTGTAGACTTGACCGAACAGTTGCTGATGTCACAGCTTTCTTTTGGCTTTTAGTAGAGGAGCTGCTACTAGCTCACATACTCTTGAATGTCGAGATATGAGCTAGCAGTAATATGCAATTATTCAATACCAGCTGTGATACATTTAGTGTGATAAAGTGCCACGTGGAAAAGTTTAATGACCCGTTTCACAAAACAGATTCTAAGCGATTGTTACAAATAAAGATGCAGTTTGACAGTTTCAAAAACAAACAATTCTGAAAAACGACCATAAAAGCGAATTTTTTTCTTATTGTCCAGCGGGGAAATAACCTGAATACAAGCTGGAGTTAAGAGAAAAATATTCTAAAACAAATCTGGGAACTACCGATAGTTCCCAGATTCGTTAGCGGAAAGTAGAGGAGGCAGTGTTTAAAAAAACAGCAATTCTCTTTCACATACAACCGCTAGATACGGAGACATTTCCATCAAGCAATGATAAGCGTCAATGAGCTACAAGATAAGAGAAATGAGTGATACAAAACTGATTCAAATAACACAGGTTCATGCACATAAAAAGTGAAGTATCACAAATAGATGGAAATTTCTTTTCCTAGTTACAACGTGCCCTTGAAGGCTGGTATTCTGAGTTTGGTATCTAACTGAGCATTGTGTTCCTTCATTGAACAATGGCTGTAATATCGCACAAAGTCGACCAAAGAAGTGAAAAATAATTTCGTGTTTAGAAATGCATATCCCGACGATTCTGGATGTTTTAAATCTCTATAAAAACATTTCGAAAGTTTAAACGGAAAACACTAACATACTTTCGCTCCAAAATCTCACTAGTTTTACACTAATATTATGTTATATTTCGTAGCCAAAGACCGATCCTTTAATAATGCATAAACGAGGTGCACAATAATGTTGCTCAGATAACTAGAACAAGTGCTTCAAAAAGACGTTAGAAAGACCTAAATAATACCAAGAACATGCTTTTTTTTTCTTTGTATAGAAGAAAAAACTGACTATAACATCACCTGTATTCAATTAGACAATTAAATATATGATTTTCATTTGATATAGTCAGTGCATAGTGACCTGCTTGGGACTGACTAGGGCGAATCAAAAATATTCCATTTGAATTATCAGGATTACAGTCCATCAACGATCGTATAATTTTAAAAGCACTATCCTGAAAATCCAAGGTTAACTCTAAATTCTAAAATCGAAGAAAACTGCTGAAATGTATAGTTAAGAAGAGATCACGTACATATCATTGAAAGCAGATAAAAAGTTTTAGAATAAGTTAGGTGCCTTTGTACAATCAAGCGAAAGATATCTATCAGGTTGCCATCGCAGTGTTAACTGAAGCAGTATTCTTGTCAGTGGTTCTTGTTCCAGGTCAGCCAAAAGCGACACTTCTTGTAACACTTTATCTATTGCTGCCTGCGAAACGTTAAGTTGCGAGAGACGGAACTGACATGTATCCAATTCTCTGGAATATTTTTTCTTTTCTTTGATCATAACTAAACAATTTAGTGGTATAAATAGAGAATATTCTCTGTTGTTTCAGTTTCTGCAAACAAAAAAAGTAAGTAATACTAAGAACTCATAGGGGAAGAAAAAGTACTACGTGGCAAATTCAAAAACATATAAACAACCACTTACTGATCCTTTTTAAAAGAGGAAAATTTTAAATTCTACTTATGGAATTTCCAAAGCCTTGGAGTTAAACCACAATGCAGAGTTTCGTTTTCCCCAATTCTTTTTTCGATCGCTTCAATTTGCTCAATCATTTGCTGCTGTTGATAACGTATACTTTCCAGTCTAAAAAACATTTTCTTCTTTAAAATTGGACATTGCATATTGAAGTGAATTTGTTCCGTGAAGCAAAAAATATCTTGAGTCCCGTAATATCCGTTAATTCTGATCCCAACGATATTCATGAAATATTCAATGAACATATCCCAAATGTAAGAAATTGAACACAACTAATATGAAATTCCACATAGCTTTTGGTGGTATACAAATAAAATTTTCAGAGCAAACTTTAAGACATAAATGTGTTGTCTTTTTAGTACGAGAATGGATGCCTTAAGCAAAAGCAATGCGTATTATTAACAGCACAATCACTAACGACAGTAATTAATGTCAGCAACGAAAGTCGAACAAATACGGTATCAACATCATGCCTTTCATTCATTCATTACTTCATAACCGTAATAAAAGCAGAACACTCCGTCAACAGTAGTCTAGACGATGTCGTGGCAACTAGATAAAATGAAAGCTTTTGAGCAAATTAGCTTCACTTGAATGGTATGGTAGCACTTAATATACGAATGCATCTAAATAATACCAAGAATATCTCAACAAAAACCTCTTTTGGCAAACATACCTTCTCTGTTGAGCCTCCTTATTTTTGTTTGCTTGTGCAATTTCGGATTCATCGAATAAAAACTGCTTATTGCTGATAGGAAAAAAAAAATGCTCTAGATGATTGATACAAAAGGAGAAATAACTCATATTTTGATAGCGTTTTAATAAATTAACATGTTTGGGTATATGAACTGAAGTTTTAAATTTGTAATGTAGTCATTTCTATACCTACTATTAGCCTTAAATTTTGGAGCGGCTTCTTTAGTGGAAATCCTAATTGCTACTGTTGGAATAAATACACTACGAAACGTGATATAAGCTAAAAAACTTCAGTGAATGTGTAAAACAGCGAAAATGTGAACAGAAACTCATTCATCACGTTATCTAAAACTACACTGTGAAAAGATCACCTTTCAAGCAATTCTACTTGTTTCAAGAAAAGTGCGTATGCAGCAGTAAATGCAGCATGTGCTAGTCGCTTCCTTTTTAATTCTTCTTTTAAAGAATCAAGCTCTGCCGTAATCTTATCATCGTGCCGGATAACGCGCAAATGAGCAGCGTGTAAACCACGTAACTGACAGAGCAAATGTTCCACACTGCGTAAACCATCGATAATCTGAACAAAATAAATTTAATCTTGCTGGGCAACAAGACAATAAAGTTATTAATCACCATCTATTTGATTTAATCTTTAGTATTTTTATTTGATTCATAAGCTTCAGAAAAGAGAATGCTAACCCACGAAGTCTGTTGGAAATTTGGTTTACGAAGAGGATAAAGAAGTTCAGTAGAAAGCTGTCGGTTGTATTCCAACAAGGAATTCCTTCGATAGTAATCAATTAATGACACAACTGACTCAAATTTTAACATATCTTCCGTAAAACCACAGTGTTCGCCAGCAACGATAATCCTTATTAAACGATTCCTCTACAACATAATTTTCTTCGCCCGTAAGACTGGCAACACATGCATTTGATTATAGCATTTCATAAGTCATTCCAAAATCAAAGCTGGATGATTGAAGAAAAATTCCAAAAAAGGGGGTGAAATTTCACAACGATCTCATCCCATACCATTTGTGAAGTTAATCTACAAATAACCATGGCTGTGACGCTGGAACTGCATACATAAGATGATCACAGATAGATTTCAAAGCAATTTGTATATCGCTTATGAAAACAATCACCCACCAGCAGTAACTCATGGTCCATGCTATGCGATAATATCTAAACACTAACAAACAAGAAATGGAATTATTATAATAAACAAGCTACCACTTTATAACAATAAGGGCAATCTACCAGAAGCCATTTACCAAAAGGAGATAGCAGCTGATGAGCAATATTTGTAAAGTTACTGTAAGGAAACTGCTGAATGAAATAATTGAAAAACATGGTTAATTCATGTAAGTACGTACCTCACCATATCTAAGCGTAAGAGTATAGTTTCCTTTAGTTGAAGCATCGCGCACACAAAATGTACCATTTGGACAATCCTGGAAAACAATACATCATTTCCGACATCTTAGAACTTTCCAACTGCAGTTGTAAACTTGACTGTAAACAGTAACTTACTACGTATAATACAGTATTTAGCTCTATCAGCCAAATACTGCATTGCTCGTACAGGTTTGCCCTTTGGTTGTTAACAATAATTTTGCCTTTAAATTTCACTTCACAAAAAAAAAAAATCAAATATAGTTTAAGCAGCTTCCCGTAACAAGTCAAAAGTTACACATATAGCTGAAGCAATTTCCTCTTTGGAAGCATTCGCCCAATACCATTCTTGCTGTTGCAGGTCATGAGTGCAGTCCTCTTCCTTTTTTTCCATCACGCTGATAAAAAGAAAACAAAAAGTTCACTGAACACCATCAAGAAATTACAGTGAATGAAATTAAGATTTTAATTACTTCCTTCGCAATATTTAAAGTATGCAGACAGACAGTAATGTTAACAACTTTTTGATATTTTTGATAATATTCTGAAATTCTATTTCAGAGTTGGAATGAGAGTTAAACATACCGCCTGGCATTACTAAGTTGTATTCATTCGAGTATTTTCATTCCGAACCTGATTCTGAAAATCTGCATCAAAGAAACCTTAATTCATTTTCTGCATATGAGGAGTCAGGCTTCACCAGTTATAGATAAGTGATGATAAAAAAAAAAAAAAGTAATATTGAAAAAATCATCACCGTATCCTAGCATCAAAATACAGTAACGAAACTTAGCAAAATTAACTGCAAATTCTAAAAAGAATGCAGTAAACAGCGCTACCTGCAAAATACCAACTTCCACACAACACTTCTCAACATGCAAGCTATATCCTCTGATTTGAAGGGATTTTTAATTGCTTGCATTGCTGGACGTTATGTGGCCTTCCAATGAAAATCGTTGATTCAAATTTGAAATTGAGTGTGGATTAAATTTTATTGGGTGACTGGTGTGTATGCTGAGATTAAGTGAATTGAATTATTTGACAGATGATTTGGCTAAATTTTGTTACAATGTTGGTGTGGAAGGAGAATTGCGTTTTACTCCACTAATAATAGGATTTTGTCCCTCGATAGTAATAATTTTCAAGAAATACTGATTCCAAATTTCAGTAAAAAAACGGATAAATGTAAGAAAGTAAACTGGAATAAGGTTTAAAAGGCATGACTGGACGTCGTAGACAAACCGGTAATTGTGGCGAACGACAGCATTTGTTGTGTGCTTATAAATTTTCCAATGCTGAAGATTCTATTTTCTTAATTCTTTTGTATTTTAAGGAATGTCAATATCACATCACAGACCAAAGAATTAGTTTGATTTTTTATAATAACCGTGTGGAAATAACCAGAAAAAATTTAAAACAGGTATGCTATCATAGAAGTATTCCCACACATTAGATTCTTGCATTACTGAAAACAGTTCGGGAAAATCTTCGTATATTCATTCCATCTATATAATTCTTCCAAAATAATGCTCAGTTTTTCTCAGTTATCACAGGTTTTTGACATTTTCTTTTTCATTCTTTGTTTATTCTCTTTTGACGTCATTTTCCAGCATTCTTATGAATTTCCAGATTTTCTAGTTATCTTTTCACAGCCTAAAAAATGTACTGAGCTTATTCGTAGCTTATCATTCGCATGAGGATTAAACAGCTTTTATTATGGATATCGCGGAATTCAGAATTGGAAGACAGACTGTTTGTCAGCATAGGATATACTTAAAAGTATTTGGCAAACGGGTTCAACGGACTTTATGAAATGCTTGAATTAAACCACTGATAATACTTATTAAACTTCACAGCATGTTTCATAAGCCATATGCTAAGAGTCTTATCATAAAGTGAAAGTGAGGAAATAAAATGAGGACTTATTCTTCCGAATTACTTTTTTCAGTTATTTTGTTTTGTTCAGCTTACAATATTCTTATAATAAAGCTGGAAAGAACGGAGGCAACCATTTACCATATTCTGTAGTCATCTACACTTCTGATGAGATTATTAATCAGTAGATCTATTCAACTGTCACTTTAATAGACACTAATTTTCTGTACTTATTTATTCCATTTAATCAAAAGTTATTAGATGTTACCAGATCACAGTATGTTCTTTATAGTTTAATAACTGTTCCGGTGACTTGCAATCAAATATATAACATTTATATGATCATCATTTTATTCCGCATTAATTCATTTTCTATTTCCTCTCACTTCTTGTCTTCATAGAATCAGAAAAAAATGTGATGATGGCACATATAACTTCAGAGCTTTAAATAAGCAGAGAAAAATTCCAGTAAGGTGCAATAACATTGTAAAATAAAAAATTTCGAGCACCTTCATTTGCGATTAAAAAAATCATGCGAATGCAATGAGGCTCACATATTGTGTGACTATCTAGACAGATAAAAAACTTACTGCTTTTTATTTATTGTAGCAATTATGCAGATAAAAGAAAATATTTGTGAAAGCGAAAACAATGCACGGTAAAGCATAATTTTGTAAATTTGTATCGTGAGAAATAATTTGAACTATCATATATTTCGACAAACTACGATGAGACTACCTTGATGAAAAAAGTTTCTGATGCTAGCAATATGTCTGCAGTTAAAAGTTTGACACTGTAATAATAAAATGTTTGTTTGCATGGCAAAAATACAAAAAAAAAAAAAAAAAAACATCGAGAAAGTAAGGTCATTCTTGCTCGTACAAAAATACTTAGCTTTAAAAAGAGATCAGATCCTTTCATTTTCTTTTATTAAAAGCTATCAACAACTTTTTTTCATCACGTAAGGAGAGATTCAAAAGTCTATTTGTGATTCAATTATAATGCAAGGAAAACAGACATCTCCAAAGATGGCTTATGACATTATTTTATTACCAGTTGTTATTGAGTTAATACTACTGTTTTGTGTGACATATTTTACTTACAGGTGATTATTTTACCTTTTTAGATTTACTTGACAATATTTACCATGGTGCTTATGCTTTCCACTAAATTGCAATTTTTGGATGTATTATGATTTAATTTTATCACTAATTACGCTTAGAAGATTCATAAATCGGAATCAGCTGAATAAAATCTTTCACTAATTTAAGCAGAATAATGCAGCTTATTCTGCTTTTATTTTCTCATTATTTGAAGTATTCTAATCCAACTGAAAACATGTTAATTCTTAAACGAATATATTTACGAAGATTTGTAATTCTGATCTTTTAGCAAGTTAATACTTCTAGTTAGAGAAATACATAGAAAAGCCAACACAAATTTCGTCTTCAAGTCCATTTGAGAATTTCATGGAACTGATCTAAAAAAATATTTTTCTGACTTAATTTAAATTGCTGAATCACTTACACCTACGGATTTTCGTTTTTGTGGCATGCTTTTGTTATAACATTTTTTGGAACTTATAACAACTCATGTATGTTACCGCTTGAGATTACAGTTACTCTGTGATCTTTCCACAACGTTCATTACAGTCAAGTTACCCGTAGAGTAATTAAAGCTAATTACTCAATGTATAACTCAACACATTATTATGTTACGGGCAGTAACATTCGTTTGTGTCTCAGAAAAAACTGTTCTTTGTGGCAAGTTCATGCATGCAAAACTGAACGAAAAATTTATAGAGTATTGAAATGAGAATTTAGTAAGTTTTTTTATTATTCTTTTTTCATTGTTTTTTTATTAAGGTAAAAGTTTCGTAATGAGAAGTGGTAATTTCAGCCCAAGCGCTGTGGGGGAAATATGACATTTGTTAAATAATGTAATTATTTGTTTGTGCGTAATTTTCGATGACGATATGGGTCAGTTTAGATTACTGTTCAAATACTTTAGTTGCAAGTATTTAATGAAGCTTACTAGTAGTAATAGACTACTTACAGAACAATAAGCAATTACTGTTTCATCAGAATTGCGCAGGCAATCAAAAACAGGAAACGTTATTAAGAAACCGGTGAAAATGAGGGAGTCAGATCAATTTGTCCCATTCCCTTTTAGCTAAAATCCCAGTAAATATTCATAACAGATAAAACTAATAGTAATTTTAGCACGAAATGAACCAGTAAATTTAAATAACATGAAAAATATTGGATTAAAACATACATACGTCGAAGATATAACGAATACCGTGTAACCAACCTCTTACTGTCAAAAAGGTATTATTTAGCGCATTAGACTATGACAGTATGGTATTATAACAGACAAAACCGTAAAGTGTAACTCGTAGTGTGCACTTTCCTGATACTACAACCAGAGAGTGTTTGACAGGACATATCCAAACTTCGATGTGTTCATTGAACTTCCTTGCCATCTTTATTGACCACCCATGATGATTTTCGACTTAGCTGTGGCAACATCCTACCATTGATATAGACCACCCAAGAAGTTCTCCCTGCAATGCTTTAATTCAGTCCTTCAGAGCAAAAGAACGAAAATTAAGAGCGATCGCTAGGACAGTGATTACATGTGCAAACTGTAGGCGAAGGTATAATAATCCCCTCATCCTAACATATGGAACGTTATGGAGAGCTGACAAACCGTTTTCTTTATGTAGTTGCTTAAACTGCTGTTTGGCTTTGTTTCCCATTACCTTGATTAATCAATTAAAATTTCTTGTCAAGGTGAATTCCCCAGTTCAATTTCAGGATTTTGGGGCACTTAACAAAACTTTCCTTACAATCTGGAAAACTTGTCGACTGGAATCAATCTCGGAGATGGATCATGTTATACTCATAAAACTATTAGGCAATTCCTTGCAGTGATGTGTGAAAATGGAGTTCGAAACTTCAAAGTACATTGAAATAGTAAAAGAAGGCATAGACGAGAAATGTTTACATCAGCGAAAAGTGTTCCAACTAAACAATTATTCTTTGTTTATAGATCTATTTGTAGATCGCAATTTCAGCCAGTTGAAGAGGTACGACTGGCATAAATACAGCGTTAATAAAGTTGATAAATGGCGTCATGGAAGCGTGGAGTTCACCTTACGTTGTACTTCCATTTTTCACTACATGCCTCAAAAATTCTTTCATAAATTTTATTGTATTTTTTCCATACGCTGTCAATTTCTTTCATAAAATGTTGGTATATTTAAAGAAATAAGTCGATGAAGGGAGGAAGTTTAAGGTGTAACGAAAGACACAAGCTTTCTCTGCTGCCTTAATTTTCAAGAATTTTTAAGTTTCTTCAAAACATTGTTTTATCTCTTTCAACAATCATTTTTTAATGCAGTCTCTCTTTTTATTTAGTTTTTAAATCCCTTATGATCATGGTAAATTCCGGAAGAAGTATATATTATTTGTATTGATCACTTCGCTTCCTTCACTGATCACTAGCTGTCATGATGCAGTAGTGTTTTATCAGACCATTCTACTTCTAGTATGTATGATTCCATTGCAACGATTGTAAATCATATCTTTTAAAAGTCTACTTAGTAGTCAAGCTCACAATTAAATTTTGATTACCTAATGAAATGAGAAGAAGATACAAATTATTTTATAAAAACCTTGTTTCCCTACCTTGTTATTCCCATCTTTTCTACAAACTTTCTTATTCATTCCAGCTTTTTGCATCTTCCTGATTCTTTTAAAAATTTTCGATTTTGCTCCCTTGAAGATTCTGTTTCGGAATGTTTCTTCCTGCTTTATCTTTTGCCACTTCACAATAACTACTTTTTTAACTAAACACATTCCTCGAATATTTCTTTTTTCAATTTGATTAAAATTAGTTTCTCTCCCATATCCTATTATCTACATTAAAAATTCTACGCATCCCTACTCCATAGCAATTGCTCTTTTTTGGTAAGTCATGCCTGCTAAAATGACCATCGGTGTTCGTTATGTAGTCTAATCTTCCATTCCTTACCAACTTTATTTGAATTATTTCTTTTGATGGAAGTTTATCATTATAATTTAACATACTTTTTATTTCATCTATTTTATGTTTGCATTTATGTGATGCAGCGATGACCCGTAAATGCCATAACAAAAAAGAGATAATGTAAGAACTCGAAGATGCTGCGACTGATCGGAATACCAGAAATTTGTGATATATGTGTTACCGGAAAAGGATTGAGCATGAAAAGGCTGCGAACCAGGAAAATCAAGCTATCTCCGTAGATACTGATTGTTACTCGATTTGTACTTGAACTGCTGCAAAGAGCTAAATTTGACGGGTTCAGGATTGATTGTAATTTGATGCGTAAATAAAATCAATAAAAGTGTTTGACGTTAAATGTAGAATCTTCCAAGCTACTTGATTATTAGAGATGGTGATAAGTTCAGTAATCTTTCGCCAGAATAATGAGTAAAATCGCATTACAACAAAGTGCAAAATCTCAGTATTAAACGGACAAAGCAAACATCACAGATTTGTGGAAAGGTATTCAGCGCAAATTATTCTGATAAAATCACACGGACAAAGAACTTGCAGATCATCTGTAAACCTGATAAGGTCGATCGTGAAGATGCATTTAACATGTGTAGAGACAAGAATATTCGCAGAGCACATGAAATACATTAACATCACGACAAGATCTAATTGTTAGAAAACTTGGTCGATGCTCTGACAAAACCAAAGCAGAAAAAGCACGCGTAAATACTTGTATAAATAGAAAAGATATTTAATGCTTTCAGTACATACCTAATATGTTCTAATCAAGCAACCAGTTTTGACAACTAAGCTTTGCTTCTCCCAATCGATATTGTCGTGATTAGTCTTGTGGCATCATTGGTTGATGCACATTCGAGTTGAAAACAGTTCTATGGATCTGTTAAGCATTAAACCCACCGACTCAAGGCCAAGTTCATTTTCTCTTTGGTCACTTCATGTTCATTTACAGGTTTGTATTTTATCATCAGATACGAGCAACAATTGTAACATTTCCAGTAGGAGTATAGAAACTTCTAGTTATTCACTATGATCGGTTTAGCGATCATTTGTGACATTATAGTAGCAGAAATTCAGTTTGCCAACAATCAATAATTATCTATAAATATACATGAATTGAAATCACCGGGAAGAACCGAAGCAAGAAGTGCTGCTTATTGATGAAGTTCCATTTATTTTAATACTTGAAATAAAGATATTCATTCCCTTTTGAAAATGACATGATAATTCGGTTTTGTTTTTTTTAGAAACTGGAATGGAGAACTCGGTTTAATATGCTTCATCTCCGTTGCTGTTTAAAGTAAAACGAATTCCTAACGATAACATTCACAGTAAAATCCTACTGAGCGGAAAAGAGCTGAAAATGACGTCTTTTGCCGTCATGCATACTGAAAATGTCGCGCTAAATTGAACGTTACATGCTTAAATTTTTTTTTAGAAAGACAGATTTCTTCTTGATTAGGCGGGATTTGATTTGAATTTTAGCAGATTTTTGATTTGCTGCCTGGAAATTTCTGATTTATTAGAATTTTTTTTTTTTTTTCAAATCTACAACAAATTATCAGTGATATTTTAATCAACAAACAATCAACGATGATTTTTTAGGACACTTCTGTACTGCATATAATAGTCGAATAATAGGAGAGAGACGTTCCTAGTGTTTAGTCATTTGATCCAACTACTTCTGACATCGATTCAGAACGAATTGATTGAACAAAGAATGGATGGTGTGGAACGGAGTATATACGGCATACTCGCAAACGTCCTACATGTTGATGAATGTAGATTAGACAGGAATTGTCTTCAAAAGTCCTTTTCATTGATGATATTTTGATTAGCAAAGCTAACCTCCAACAACAGGCTGATTGCTCAAGTGATATCGATGTTTAAGTAAAAATATTGGCAATGTATGTCACAAGGCAACTGATGTATATCACGATGAAAAACAGCAAACAAATGCTAGGTGTGGGATTTCACTGCTGAAATATTTGTAGATGTTAGGGTAACAAAAGAAGGAAGAAAGAGAATTTGGAATTGCAATTTAACATGGACTGGCTTGAAATGAGATTCATAACAAAACATTTAACAACATCGAGTCTGAAGTTAACGTGAAAAGATGTGACAAGTTTTTCCTATGCAGGAAAGCAGCTGAGAAAAGTTCAGGATTGTTTTCTTACGATATTGGGCAGTAAGAACTTTAAAGTGAAAGAAATTATGCTGCATTGGCTTGACTGTGCAACTTATTCCACCTTCGCTCTCCGCTTTTTTCTCTTTGTATGCATATTGAAAAGTTCAGGTTGGGAAATTTAGAAAACGCTCGTTGAGGAAATAAGTTTCAAAGGATATTTCAGACCTGAATAAACTAAAGTAATTTTTTTCCGAGAAGATACCCTTTAAAGAGGGTCACATAATAGTCAGGGCTATAAGTAAGTTTCCGCTTTTCTTTTCTAAGTTCTTATTTACTTGTTAACTTGGAATACACAATACGCTGATATGCAATGGTATGAATATTGTTTTTCATGACGCAGATGCATCTTTATATGGCATTCGTTTTTTAGCAATAAAATTATAACATATTAAATATGATAACTCATTTATTTTTCAGTTGCATTTCGATTATCTATATCAGATAATGAGAAGGAAAATTATTACTATGTCCACCTGGCAATCATATTTTATAACAAAGAAAGTTTTATTTTCATCCAGAAATTTCTTAATAATTTTTATGCAATAATTTTAATTTTTAGGTTAAAAATATTGCACGAATATTTTAGCTCATAGCTTTTGATCGGATACTACTTATTTGTTGTTCTTGCAAAAAAAAAAAAAAAAAAAAAATTGTAGTTTAGAGGAACTGAAGGATACTTCATTTTTTTAGCTTATTGGTTATTCGATTGGTAAACAATTGGATATACGACACTTCTTGTTTGTATTTCAACATAAATGGAAAAATTATTTGAAAAAAATCAAAAAGCGGAAAAATAGATTGAATACCAGTGAACTTCGCAGCAGATTTATTTTCGATATTGGAATATTTAAACTTACGATCAGCAAGAAGTTATTTGTTCAGATATGCTTAAAATCTATATAAATAGCAACGGAATATTTTGGATGCAAGTACACGTAGCTTTTCTTTCTTTCTTTTTTACCTTTGTTTATTCATACGAAGAGTAGGGTTAATTTATTCTCTCAACATCGCCATATTCTTTTTCTGACATATTCAGAACTTTGGTTGAAGTAAAGGTTAAGTATTCTGGTGGTAGTTTTACATAAGAACTTAGAAAAGAAAAGATCTGCATTAACTATTTTTTTGTATTTATCTTTCGTTTGTTTTTTTGTTTTTGCATTTCGAAACAAATCATAAAGGAGATAATTTCGAATGTTGTATTCTTCTACTTAATAATAGCTTGTACAACAAATTATAAATACTTTTGTTCAAATGTTTCAAGGATTTTTTGATCGGAAACTATTTATCTTTCTTAAATTTTAAAACACTATCATAGTCATATTTTGGAAATTTGAAACTCATATGTAAGTATAGTTGAAAAACATGTTTCTGTCATCTGCTTTTGATCTCTTGACAAGTTCCTTAATAGGACTGTAACCATAATAAGTGGAAGGTTCTTCTATATATGTTTGCTCTTGTAATTAATAACTTTTGCTCCCAACATTTCATATCCCACTTAACGGTTAGGAATAAATTCTATATCACCTGACCAAATTCACAGTTATCCAATCACCGATTGCTCAACAAGACAATAAATTAAAAATATTTTAAGGATTAAAACACTAAATAAAAATTGGACATAAGCTTCACATTTTGGTGCAGTAAAACTTTTCGGAGATGTCCCATGAGAACAGAACAGTATTCTTT